GTGTGCGCGATTCAATTCGAAGGGTAGATCCGTGGGGAGTACTGGAGCGTTGGTCAGCAATAATCCCCCGCCGTCAGTACAAAGTTGCTGGGCCGAACTCTCTATGGCATCTCGACGGCAATCATAAGCTGATCAACTGGAAGCTTGTAATACACGGCTGTATTGATGGATTTTCTCGTCTCGTTGTTTTCCTCAGGTGTAACGATAACAACAGAGCCGAAACAGTGCTGCGGTGCTTTATTGACGGGGCAGCAGCGCTAGGTGCACTGCCGTCTCGAGTAAGAGGAGATCGGGGTGTCGAAAACGTTGATGTAAGACGCTACATGGAAGAAAAGCGCGGGGAGGGCCGAGGAAGTTTTATTTGTGGCCGTTCCGTGCACAATCAACGCATAGAGCGTCTTTGGAGGGATGTTACAAGCAAAGTAACAAGTTATTACAAATCAATTTTCATGCAACTGGAGCAAAGCGGAATTCTTGATCCAGACAACGAGATGCATTTATTTTGTTTGCACAGGATATTTCTGCCAAAAATTAACAGTTCTTTGCAACAGTTTGTGGCTAGCTACAACTCTCATGGCCTGACTAGTGAGGGCGGCCACAGTCCAAGAGCTTTATATGCGAGCGGTCTGTTTACAAGCGGCCCAAGAGGAGCTGACATTGACCCAACCGATATCGGGATATATGGCATAGATGTGGATGGACCACTGCCGGAAGACGTCGCAGAAGAGTCTGGTGTTATTGTTCCCAACATCATACTCCCACTGACGGAGGAAAATCTAAACGACTTGTACAGCCGCTTTCCGGAAGACGAAGGAGATATGATTTCCGGCATTTCGCGCTACGAAGAGATGATGAATTATATGTTGCATACTTACGGAAACTTGGAGTAAGCTACGTGGAATAATTACTTGGGATTGGTTTACGTAAGACTTATGCAGTCATCTAACTGATAAAAGTTTTGGTATTTTGTTACTATATAACTGCTTGTTTTTTCATAGACGTTTCGTAATGCTTCTCGCAAGGCGTTTTTAGTTTCTATTATTTAAAACTTAGTCAAAATAACTTAGTTATTTTGTTTTTGCTATGCTGCTGTGTACTGCTGTGTGTACTGCTGTACTGATTTGTGTGTACTGCTGTTATTACTGCTGTTACTGCTGCTTTTGGTATAATTGTTTGTATATTAATCGCATCAAGAGATTATTTCTTGCACTGCAGTATTACGCAGATTGATAACCTCAATAATTCCACATTAAAACTTGAAAATTGTTGCATAGCTGGTGATTAAGCGATGCAGTGCCGGCAAGAAACGGATACTCTGTTAAACCTTACAGAATCGTCTGCCTGGCGGTCTCTCTCGCTGTTCATGTGAGTACTTGCAATGCTGTATATTAAAAGGTCAGCATTAGATAATAACATCAGATCCGACTGCTAGACAGACTTTTCCAAGAGTGACCTCCTTCTTTTGTTTTTGAATCCGGGATGCCAGTACTCGTTAACCACGATTACAGCACACGCGCAAAATACAGCACGTGCTGACGTATTTCATAACTTTGCGCACTCGGCAAGTTCACCGAAATTTGTTTATTCATTACAAAGTTCTTCCGTTGCATTTTCGATAAAAAGAATAATAACTACTCTTCATATAGCGAAATAAAATGGCAGAGTTGCTTCGTTCTGTGTATGGTAAAGCAGCACTAAGTTCGTGCGATCTTTGTAACTGCACAGTTTGGATTCCGGGGACTGAGACTATTGAAAACCCTGACGGGTACCTTGTCTGCAAAAATCCGGCATGTGCACATTTATGTTCCTGCCATCATTTACAATCAACATCATCCAGCAGCGCGCTAGTTGCGGCAAGCGTCAGTGCAGGACCGTTGTTTGCAACTGGGAGTACGCAAGGTCCCGGGAATTCCGGAACAATTGGCCGCACTACAAATCCGGTTGACGTCCTAGCAACAATTCGTGACATCTCCGCCCGGAGAGGAAGCGCCAGCGTTGCTCTTACCCACGCCGGCTCATCCAACATGAATGCTCATACTCCACCTCACAGCTCACCTTTTCTCCCACACCGAAAACGGGAGGGCCGGGCTTACACACAGCTGGCGAACGCCCGCAAGCGAAGGCGTGGACAGCGCGGTCCCGCTGAAATGTGGCTTAAGGCGACAGTTATTGTGCTCACACAGCATACACGACCTACACTAGTGCGCTACGGATCAGCTCGGTAAACATTGCAGAGTGCTTCTCTAGATTGTAAGTTTATGTTTGACCGGACATTTTGACACGTTACCGCGCAACCTCGTATACTTGTGGCTTCTGGCCTTGCGTCGTATTGTTAGTATTGCATCTTATTGTTAGTATTTTATTTGCATGCAAGTACAGAACTATGTTCGTGTAAACATGGGTAAAACTCGCAGAATTTTTAAGTTATGTATTTCATCTTTTACGGACACTTTGCGTAAGCTTGTAATTTACTGCAGCAGAAAATACTTAATTACATATCTGCACTCCACACTCTACAATCATCTGCACTCTACAGTTTTATATCTATATAATGTAATACTATTATTGTAACTAAAAAGCAAGTACAGTATTTATGTATCCACTGGTTCCGTGGTTACAATCGTTAGTCTTATGTATTCTGTATTAAGTACTGTGCAGTAAACGTTTTTCGGGTGCTGTGTGCGTTTTCTATACTGAAGATCATCCTCTGACCACTTGTATTTCACAAACAAACAAAATATTGCAAATGTTGGTAATCCTACAGAAAATATGAAAATTTTTTAGGCCACTAAAACTGACCACTGATCTACGAATCCATAAAAACGGCGAAGAATTACGTTTTGGGCGTTAAGACTAAATAAATATGTATATGAGGAGAAGTATAAGTATTTTGAATTTTCAAGTCGAAGAGTGACTCCGGGGTGTGTTAATGTTTTTTTGTATTTCTTGCGCTCTTCAAAGATGGTTGATCATAAACGTACGTTCAAAGATGTAGTTAAAGCTCCTTCTGCAAATTCAGGTCTTTAGACATTGGGGATCTCTAAAGACGACTTTCTTTAAAGAATACTTCCTCGGACAAGTTTCTTTAGAGAATAGTTCCTAGTCCAATGATAAATGTAAAAATTCTCAAAATGATGTATTTTCAACTTCAAGCATCTCTTCACAAAATTTGTAGATATTTTGGCTCTTCAAAGAAAAAGTGCTAATGTTCGAATAACAATCGCGTTTCTTTAAAGAACTGTTTATCTTTAAAGGAATGTTACACTTTTGTCCACTCCGGCGCGGCATACGTACGAGCATGTATGGAACTGTTTGCAATAATGTAAGATGCATCCATCAACTGTCAAAATTACCCTCGTCAACAACACCGACGCTCGGTGTTATTTGGTAGATTTACTGTGCTATAAAATCCCAGTTATCTGTGCTGCATCCATCAGTTATGTAATATCGGTTCTTCGCTGTAGGAAAATAAATACAGTAATTATTCTAAATCTAAAACATCTTATACAAGTTCGTAGCAGATCTCTGTTGCGCTGCCAGCAGCTTGCTTAACGACTCTGTACACTGTAGAATTTACGGTGTTTCTGCATTGATTGTACATACATTTTATTCATAAAATCTATAGTTCGGAATTTGCGATAAGCAAACGGCCAGTACCCATGCTATAGATACCATGACTAAGAGGCATCGCGTCCTGCGTCGGAGAGAGATGCTTACCTCTTTCGTCTTGCGGAAAACTACACCCGTGTGACGACATCGTCACTAGTCGCACAGCACCGCCAACAGTCACCGGAAGTGCGCGTGCAGGTATGCCGTGCACATTCCTGCGCGGTCATATGACATCATAGTGACCGCATATTACATCATCATGCCGTCATGTACTCTGTCATTGGCTTGTCGCCACACCAGCCCCTCCCATGGCAGCCGAGCCCATCCGGACCAGGACAATATATAAAGCACCCTTCCACACCGTACCAGTCAGTAGTCTGACAGCAGTCCACCAGCAGTCTACCACTCGACTACCAGCCTACACCTGGATTACCTAGCATTAGTATTGTTATTGTGGGCATAGTGTTATATTGAATAAAGGTCACTGTCTTACGGGTGCGTTGCCTAATCGTTATAGGGCACATAGGTAACAAGTAAAGGTCATCGTCGACCTGCACAGGTGTAGCACAGGTGCACTTACAGGAGAACTCTATACTGCGACACCCGCGAAACCGCGATGGACCGACCACGGGTAGACACTGGACAGACCAAATTCTCCCTTCTCCTGTAACTCATCTCTCATTTTGCCTATCGCATGTGCATGTGCACTTGCGGCCTACCGATTGTCACTTTTGGGAGTCGGGCCCGTCTCTCTGTGACCATGCCCGTTACTAGTTAGCACAGTCTTAATTGCTTTTTAATTACTTTTTATGGCCAGTGCTCGCGATTTGTGGGCATGGGTACTAGTCTACGTGCTTATCGCAAATCAGGTATTTTGTAACATTAGATAATGGTATGTATTACGGTTTCGGTTTTTAAAAGCGTCTACTTATGCTTCCTCCGTGAGGTTGCTCTTGGTGTCCATTTTTGTCTACATACAGAGTACGTATATTGTGTACAACAATACCGATATAATACTGTACCTATATGCATATACTATAGAAGTATGTATTTTTTGTATGGCCTAATTTAAGTCAAATGATTTCTCAGCCATTTCTGCGTGGATTGGCACATTAATTCGCACCCGTGCCTTGAGGTCATCGCATGAAACAGCGCATAAATACAGTGCATCAGCATTGTACGAGTACATATGGATACGAGTACCGTAAAACTGTAAACAAATGCCGGCTTGCATCAGCACATGGCAAATAAATAAGGCAGCTCATCATCAATAACGAGCAGTACATTTTTGTTCGACCTTATACTGGACCTGCAAGGCACTTGGAGTCGTATACGTCATTCGCGCTACATCACGCAGTTTTGCGCACTTTTTTGTAACATGAATCGAGCGGTAGAATGGGATATTTTATTAATAAAAAACAATATTCAGAGGAAAATTATCGCAAGCCACACGATCACAATCTCTTCAAACTCAAGTCAATAACATTATTATCTGCAATCCAGGGACATCCAATCTAACCAGTAAAAACACGCCAAATCAACGCAACAATTTTCCCCAAATTTTTCTTCCATTTTAACAGCATAACTTTCCACCAAGAACACAGTATTATTTCACGCATAGTACGTGGGCGAGACGAGCAGATCGGTCAACAAGGCCAGCTGCTCCTCGGTGAACTTGGTCTTGTGTTCGGCCCAGTTGTCGAGATGCGTGCGGCGGAATTCCTTGATGGTGTTCTTCACCGTCTGGTTGACCGGCTGCGGATCGTTGACGTGCCCGCTGAGCAGCACCAGGACGTCGGGTTCGTGCTGGCCGATGCCGTAGGGCTGCGAGACGATGTAGGCGCACAGCCCCAACACGCCGGCGTGCCGCGTTAACAGGGATTTGGGCGTGCGGGCGTCCGTCGGCTGTTTGATGACGGGCGTCTCCGACTGCCGGTAGAAGCGGTCTAGGAGGGGTTTGTCCAACTGCAGGAAACCGCACTGCGCCAAACCTGTTTCAACGCCCGTTCTTTTATAATAACGACGATAATATTACACAATTAATTCACGAAGTAGTAGAACTTTTTTAAACTTAAGTAAATTGTACACAAAAATTACTGCTTCACAGAATAAACTAGCATTATTAACCGAAGAAAAGCACTAATACCAAAGAATGTCCTGAAATTTCCTTAAATAAATGATTAAATCCTACAGACAAAAAAATTATCAAAGTTATAATTATACATAAGACGCAGCTACATGCAACTAATCTTTACAACTCAAAGTCTCAGACAGAAGATTCTACATTTCGCTAATTTTTCTAGCAGTTTGTCTATTTTTTTGTAGAACATTTTAGTAAACCAGATCTACAAAATCGTCATTTAGAGCCCAGGAAATAACTAATAAAAAGTATTTATCAAGATACTAAATGAATTGTTTAACACATTATCGAGTAAATAACTGGCAAAATTACCGAACAAGCACTGTGTTACTACCGAATAAATTATTAATCTCACTCGTTGTTGAGCCCGGCGGAAATTATTTACTGCCGCAGAAAATACTTCCATTTATATTCCGACTGATTCTTAACAAATTGAGGGCCGCAGAACGTACCGGCCAACGTGACACAGGCCATCTCGCGCACTTCCAGACTCTCATCCTCCAGACTGCCCAGGACCATCTGCTTGACGCGCGCCACCGGCGACGGCGTCAGGCGTTGGATGGCGAAGAAGTTGCTGAAGACGGCCGTCTGCAGATGCTCCAGCGCCAGCACCCGATCGCGCCACCACAACGCATTGCCCACATCGGCTAAGATGCGCTCCACCTGCCCCAGCATCTCCCCGATCTCCGCCGGCGACAGGGCGATCTGCGACAAGCAGGCCAGGGCCGCCACACAGTCCCGTCGCAGCTCGTCGTCCCGCGTGTCGCTCTCGAAACGCATCAGCAACGGCAGAAACCACTACACAGCACAGGGATGCAAAAATTTTTAATAAAAAACAGCAAAGTAGAGAAATTAATCAGAGCAGTGAAATAAAACGGATAAAAAGATACAAAAACCGTACAACAGCGGTTTATGCCGGTAAGATGGCGCTTGTCATCAGCCAGCCTAAACCACTGCTCTACGATCTTTCATTTTGTGAACAATGTTATCAGCTTAGCACTGCTCACACAAAGATCAATTTATCTAAAACAACAATGATTAATCAAATAAAATAATGCAAGGCAAGGTAATGAACTAAAAAACTTATACAAAATTTCAAAGTCTTAATGCTAATTAATAAAAAAAATTAAACAACCAAATTTAAACAATTTAAAATGCCTGCTCTTTTTTAACTATTAAATTATTCTTTTGAGAAAATTATTAAAAAAACACAATTCAAATGATTAATTTATCCCACTTAATTAAGAAAATAACCACAAGAAAATTCAAAGAAATATATATAAAACCGCTCCAAAACGCAAAAACCTTAGTGCTAATTAAACCATTATTAACAAGAAATTTTAATAGTATCTAAAAATAAAGCGGATACAAAGTACGTAGTTGTTTAGTCACTACTAAATTCGGCTTCAGTCTTTTCCGAGAAATGCCGGCAGGCACAGAGTGCAACAGAAACCATTTTCTTTCATTCTGATCTGAATTTCAGTCAGACATCAAGAAAGTTATCAAACAAATTACCTGCAGCTCCGGCGGTGAGAAGCCCATCGTGTTGAGAACATGCTGACAGATCAGTTTGACCATCGTCTTGAACAGACGCATAATATCTTCCAGTTCCGTCGGACTATTCCCGCTCTTCAGCAACTCCTTACAACGCGGAAAATACTCCTTCAGCAGATTCACAAATTTCGGTCCCTGCTCCATTTCTTTCGACAGGTTCGGCAGCTGGATTTCACATCTACAGTAAAAAGAGTATCCTAAATTTTACCATTAACAAAACCAGTTTAATGCGCACATGACTTGACCATTGTGATTCCGAATTAGATTCGCAGCCATCGCACTACAAGTAACCCGACAATTTTCTTATTATTCTGCTCTTCCGAAAAATTAGCGAATCGAGTGAATTATTCGGGATTTAAATTCACTTTAACTAGACAGAATTAAATTCAAATGGCAAAACATTGACAAAACAGTCAAAGGAAACCAAATGCTCGGGAAAATGCAATCTTAATTTAATTTGAACTAATTTGATTAATTTAATTTGTTTATGTTATTTTAGTTTGATTTAATTCGCCTTAACCGGATAAAAAATCATTTTAATCCGCAAAACATTTATAAAATGCTCAGAGCCAAATAGCGGAAAAGTTAACGTTGATTTAATGTGGAAAAAAATGCAAAAAATTCTCACCAAAAATCTAGTTCCGAGAAATTTATTTTGGAAAAAATCATGAAAGGATTTCCAAGAAAATTACCAAATATTTTAACAAAAATGCCTCACCTGTACATATTGGCCAGCGTCCAGGCCACGCGGTCGCGGTAGCGCTCCTCCATCCGTTCCTTCATAATCTCCTCGATGCGCTGGTGCAGCTCCTTCCGGCGCCAGTCATACTGCACGAAGAAGGCACTCTGCAGGACGTACAGCCGCGATGACGCCTGGAAAGAGGTGTCGTTCTTCGGCAGATCAAACAGCACTTTCAGCAGGGGATAGGTGCGCCGCGCATCCCCCTCGTTTAGCCCGGAATGCGCCAGCTCCCCCCAATCCGCCAGCGACTCCGTGGTCAGATTGTTCAGCGCCAATTTTAGTAGCGGGGTTAACTGCTCCCATAGATGGGTGATTTTCTTGTACGGCCATCGCTTGGAACCACTGCCATAAATTGATAATTATTCTATTGAACTCAGTTTAACTTTTATTTATACTATTTTTATTTTATTCAGTTTTTATAATTTATTATGTTTATTGTTTCATGATTCTTTTTCAAAAATTATTTTCTTAGGTTTTCAAAAATTGTTTATTTTCAAAAATGTGCGATTGTTTTCAAAAGTGTGCAGTTTTTATTCATATTATTAATTCTGCAGTGCCAATGTTAGTAAGATGAAGAAGACACATAAATCACAGCTAACCGTAGAGCGATGGCAAGCTAAGATTTCCTCATTTCGGATTTAAAAGCAAAACCTGATCACGCATTCATGTTAATACTCCGATTCTGTAACATTTCAGTTTTATTATTTTTCAATGTTCTGGTTAAGGTTTTGTTTTTAATCGCTAATAAGATAAAAAAAATGCCTGCGCTGGTGGTGGAATAGTTAGTTATTCGACTGTATCCATGCACGTCTATTTAAATTTAAACGCGCATTATCATCTATCTCCCTTCGTTTTTCTTAAATGTTTATTACTTTCGGCAGCTGTTCTTCAAATGGAGCACAATTCCGATTACTCAATAATTACAGCCCAAACTTCCGCACACATTGCTACTGGCGTTTCCGTCTACCTTGTCTATCAAATCGAGTTACGAAACACTTCCTTGGCAGTGTCTACCAAAATTACTCACTTCCTTGTGAAATACTGCCAAAAAATATCCCGCGGTTATCATAATTTTCTCTGACAAAATTATCGGATTTTCTGGCAAAATTTGGAGGAAATATGACTTGCACAAAACATTCCATTAAAAAAATTGGAAATTCGATTTCACGAAAAATCCGTGGCAAGATGTCTAAATGCGAGAAACTGCCCTGCGCGATAACGAATCAACATCGAGGATGGTATAATTAATAACGAAGCGTTCAATTTCTCAAGCAATTAATTCCGTATACAAAATGCCGGCAATTTGAAAACTAAATTTTATTTTAAATTTATGTCAAATTAAATCTAAAATTTAAATTAAAAAAATCAACTTAAATTCATACTTTTAATCTTTACTTTGTTTCAAATTAAAATTAAATCAAATTTTATTCAAATTTAATTTTTTTTTACTTATGCAATGGTGGCGTTTTGACCGTTATTTTACCGAATAATTCCCGTTAAAATTTCCGCTGCACACCGCTGCTGATGCTCCTCTTTAGACGCGATCAAACGCTGCAGATGCGGTAATAACAGCGGCAAAAACGCGTCTTCAAAATGCCGGAACAGTGTGCGGAAAATCCAGTAGGTGTATGTATCGAATTTCCCGTGCAACTTGGAGTCTTCCACCGATAGCAATCGTATGAGAATATCCACGTACGCCTCGTCCGTCATCTTCTCGTAGATGATCTTCTCCAGCTGGTTCAACGATTCCGGCACTTTACCCAGACAGATCTGATCCTTCAGCGGAGCTGCCAACTGTCGGAAGAAATGAAGACACCATTAAACTATTTGTTAAACAATAATACAATTTTCTAGAGCACAGCCTTCTAAAAATATGAATTTAACAATATTCAGTAAATTTATATTTAGAATTTATTATCTATGAGACAACATTCACTCATAATTCTGTAGAGAATCAAAAACAAGGTTCCCAATAATTAAAAAAGAAATTCAAGATCCACCACACCAAAAAATTTTTTCTATAGTACAAAGGTGAACCGATATCTGGAAAACAAAAAATTATTTCTTAAGCTGCATCAAAATTTGTTTAGCAAACTTTTCGCTTCGAATTTACGGCCGCAATTCCCTTTTACCCGGACAGTACGCCACCATTCTACGATCGTATGATGTTATATAACTAAATCTTAAAAAAACTAGCGCATTCGCCCCAAAATAATTACTTTGATAACGTCAGATTTATTCTAAAAAAGTTAATTGTTATTAACAACAATTAACGCAGAAAAAACACTAATTTATCAAAAGCGCTGGTGTTTCAAAAACTAAAACAGGCATCAAATTATTAACAATTATTAACAAAGAAAAAATACTAATCAAAAGGTTTTATCAGCGCACCGTTTTATCAAAACTTCGCACCATTAATAAAATGTCAAAATATTTTAAAAATATTTTGAACAAAGCTGAGACATGTCAACTAAATGCCTTTGCAAAAAAAAGCTAACTTTAACATTGGGCACATGGAACACGAGCTCACCACTCTTCAATTTCACTGATTCCGCTTACAACAAGCTCAAGCAAACCGAGCATATAAACCGGCAATTACCGTCCGTTATAAACACACCTTCAGCGTTTCCGGCCATCCATAGTAGCCATGCTGGATCTTCTCCACGAAGATCGTATTATCGTATTCCTCCGTGTTGCGAGGGAGTTTGGCTTCGTCGAAGCACAGCCAGAGATTGTCGGGACGGATCCCGGCGGGCGGGAGACCATTCGGCGCGCTGGTCAGCGTGTTTTTTAAGTGCACTTCGGTGCGGACGATGGGCCGCTTCAGCCAGCGCATAAAACTCAGCATCGGGTGCTGGGAGAGTTTGCGCGCCTTCTCCGAACTGGGATTGGCCCAGTTGTCCATGAAGGTGTCGATCATGTTCGGCTCCAAGGCCACATCACGACGAACTACAAATTCATTCAGTACATTATCCGTTAACAACGCTTCTCACACTGCGGAACATTTTCAAGCAAGAATCCTTCTGAGAAATAATTTGAGGCATCGAAAAAACGCTTCATAAAAAGTAGGAAACAATCAATAATTCTAATATCGCAAATTTCAAATGTTGCCGACGCTGGTTATTTTGGAAAGTTAGTGAACAAACAGTCGCCACTCAAAACCACTGCACTACGTTCATTACTAATCAACAAAACTGAAACCATGTGCAACCGTCAAACACAGAAGAGCAATAAGTTCCAGTTTTAATCATTACAAAAAATAACCAAATAAAAATTTCAGTGAGCAGATAAAAATTTTTGATCATAAATGATTTTCAAATATCGCAAACGATGGTTATAGTAAAGAGTTAATGAACCAACACCCCTCCCCTAACATCACTAACCACAACCGTTGCACTACAATCATCACTAACCGATAAAAACGAAACCGCGGATGACTAACGAATCTAATTTTATTAATTGCAAAAAAAATCGTGCAATGAGTTTCCTATTAAGTATATTCTTTTGAAATTACACATTTTGCTGATAATAATATTTCTGGGAATAAAAGCCCGATACATTCTGCCATCCGTGCAAAACCGATCAACTTACTGAGATGCGACAGGACAAAGAGGGAAAAGTGGAAGTTCTTTGGTTTCGTCAGGCGTTCGCGTACAAAATCCAGCAGCTCATTGACGAGGACGAAGAAGAGCTTCTCGTTCTCCCGGCTCTCCACGGCCCGGTTCTCCCACATCTCCTCCATATCGTGGACCGATGGAGGATCGCCGTCCACCGCCGCGCCGGCATTTTTCACCAGCATCTGGCGGGCCACTTCCATGGCCTTCTCGGCCTGCACAATGTGGATCGTCGTCGTCGAGAAGTGCCGGTCCATCTTGTCCGCCAGTTTATCGAAGATCAACGACACCGTCTTGCTCTCCGATGTCACTTTGATCAGGCACGGAAAGCACTACAAACAACCAAATGCTGCTTAGCCATTACATGAATAATCAGTACCGTAAGCATTAAGAAACGAGAACAATTTATTGTATGTATTAAAAGAAAAAATTAGAGGCTTAAAAAAAACAGTTTTACAATGAATTTGTTCTTCAAAAAAACTTCATTACGTTACGGTTTATTTTTACAGGGTTATGCTTATGAAACGATGTTATTCTATTGTAACAAAAGCGCTACAATATAATTAACTTAAATGCATTTTACTGCAATAAAAAAAACGTAAAAATTTAATATCGAAAAAAAGGTTAATCATAGTTAAATTACACAAATTACATTAAATAATTACACAAACCTGTTCACTACTAATGTAATTAAAGGAGATAAAATAAAGTTATTAAAGGAGATAAAATTTTATTTATCGAAGAAACGCTTAACCGTTACTTCCTAAAATTCAAGAAAATCTTGACTGGCCAGTAATTGTAAATTTCCTAGAAATTAAAAAAATTAAAGTGGAGGTAATTATTTATTTAAGATTATAATACAAATTTGCTTCTGTGATGGGACTGTTTTTTTTAAATTCAGTACAATTTCCTAATGCATTATGCCGAATTCACCTTGGACAGCGTGTGCCAGTCGTGTTTGGTGACCAGTGAGCCGCCTTTGCCGCCGAAGATGAGATACAGCGCGCCCTTCATCTGCGCCGCCATCTCCTTGTTATCCTTGGACGTCTCCAGCTTGCTGATGATGTCGTCGACGAACGCCCGGTAGGTGAACTGCAGATTGGCCAGGGCGTCCTGGAAGTAGTTCTGCCCGAGCACGCGCACATCCCGGTACTGCCCGGTGGCCAGATCGATCATCTCCTTCATGATGGCCGACCGCAGGACGGTCAGCGGTGAGCCACGATGGTCCTAGAAACCGACCAAGAGCTCAATAACCGTTCTTCGATGCCGGGGCAAAAAAGGCAACGCCTTATTAGATGAAATATAAATACAATGAAAAGCGCAGTTACGCCAGCAGTGTTGAAGAAACTTCCATACGAAAAAACGGAAAATCTCTTAGGCGGCCAATAATGATTAAGTTAACACCGACCATACGTATGTGTTCGGAGACAGCTTCTAGGTCAGCCGTTGTACTACAATGTCATACATTAGCACGCACCGAGAGAATCAAGAACGATATTCTCCATTCAAAAAACTTAAGAAAATAAAAGGAATAAAATATCATCTGATGAAAATGAAGTTATGCAGACCACCATAAAATTTGCCTTCTTGATGCAGCAAAAAAACGCAAAAGCAAATTCAACAATTAAAATATCCGTCAAAAGCAATCAAGCCATAGATTAACTAAAATTACATTAATACTATTCAAGTATTTTTAATTAGAATAAATCATCACATTGTAATATCCAAGAAATTTTTCCAAAATAATCGAAGAAAAATCGGTAATCATTACTTAAAACACGTTAACACAATATTTTTATTAATAGATGTTGTTATTTTTTCCAAATATTTCCATTTGTGATTAGTGTGCATTTTTCCACTCACATAATGGCGTCGTTCATGCTGCAGCAGTACCCGCTCGAACACCACCAAGCGCATCTGTTCCTTTTTCGATCCCAGCACCCGCGTCATGGTCTTCCTGGAAATAATATGCGCCTTAATCCGCATCTGCAATTCCTCGTTCTCCAGCCCGCGGAAGAACATGAGAGCCTTGAAGATGCGCAGAATGATCTTGATGGACTTGACGTCGTCCTCATCCGCCGCCGAGATCTTGCGCAGCACCGGCTGGACGTGCTGGAAGATGTAGTCGCGGGCTGGTTGGCCGCGCAGACGGATCTCGCGCTGCGACAGACTGATGATGGGATCGGGCTGCTTGGAGTAGATCTCCACCGAGGTGGGGCAGGGCAGGAGGCGTTTCTCGGGGGCGGTGTCGAAGGGGAAACGGATGCCGGCACCGGCTGCAAGCATAAACAATATTAATGAAAATTAAGAAAATAACTTAAATTGATACATTTAACTTTAATCTGCGCTTTAATTTATTTTTGCAATATTTTCCAGCGCGGGGTGGAAGGGGAAACGGATGCCGGCACCGGCTACAAGCAGAAATTTTACAAATCAGTTTTAAATCAATAACTTTAATTTAATCTACGCTCTAATTTATTTTCGCAATATTCGTGGCCGCGGTGTCGACCATACTACCAACTAAAACTTTGAAAAATACTTAAACAAATTAATCAAAAATACCCTTTTTATGCCGGCATGTGCTGGAAACCGGTGCAGCGTTTCATTTGCCAGTTGACGATCATGCAAAACGTTAAGGAAAAACTAATAGCTTTTCGGCAGCAGTTAGATTTTACAGAACCGTCACATGCTGACAAATTATGAAATTGGAGGCAAATTTGGACAGTTGCCATTACACTACGAAACACCACGATATCGTCAACAGCGTGCTGCATCGATCGTCAGTCGGCTCTGGCCGCCGTCAAATTTTTTTCCCGGCGTGGACTAAAATATATTCCACAGGAAAAACTGAACCATTTACATCTCGCAAAGTTCTAACAATTCTCTTAAAAATCAAATAGTAAAGGTACAGGAAAAGCAGGAGATACCGGCAAGGAGCTGGAAGTAGTACTCGTACAACTGGTGAAAAAAACTTATTTTCGCAATTTAATTCTCAAATTTGTTTCGGACGGATTTCACTATCCCTGTCGGTCTAAGAACCAAGATTAATCGCGCTATAACAACAAGCCGGCGGTAGATTTAAGTAACAGAAGCGGACGCATTTTAATGAAGATTAACAAAACAAAAAACGTTAAAAAAATGAAAAAATAAAAATATACAATAAATTTTGTAAAATAAATATAAAATTTAACATTAAAAATTGCAACAAATGCGAAGCATTATACAAACTCAACTAAATTGAAAAAGGGGAAAAATTTTAAAATAAATTTATTAAACTGAAACTTAAAAAAAACTGTAACAAAACAATTTCAGTCGGACGTCCGATTTCCCGCCACTCACCCACGCACATCTCCACCATCAACAGCGTCCGCTCCAGCTCCTTCCGCTCCATCATCCCCTCCCCGCTCGCATGCCGCTGCAACGCCTCCAACGCCGGCAGCAGCAACACCCCGAGCATCTCCTCCGCGAAATCCAGCTCCTCCTCATCCGCCACATGCCAGTCCATCTGTACTTTCCTGGGTTGGACCAGCTTGCCCCACTGCCGCACCGGGACATACTCCCCGCTCTCCTCCGCCATCTCCCGCGCATCCACCGACCCGATATTCACCGGAAAGGTGCTCAGGACCCCGCGCAGCACCGCCCGCACCATGCCGGCCACCAGCTTGAACAGCTGCGTGCATTTCGTCTCTTTCAAGACCTCTAAGCATTCCAGGAGGGTGTTGCGGTGGGTTAGGATGGATTTGCCGCAGAAGACTAGGCTGTCGGAGACCAGCTTGACTGTCCAGGCCAGTTCGTCGTCGATCTGGTCGTTTTCGGGGATGTCGTTACGGCGCAGATCCACGCGCACCTATTTTATTCAATTTAATCAATCTGGCAGCTTTAGCAATTTTTTATCTTTAAAATTCACTTTTATTAAAGCAGCTTGTTTATCTCACGCCTGATAGTCAATTTTTCCCAAGCTCAAATTCACAATTAAATCAATATTATTAAAAACACATTTAAATAGACCTTTTTCATAGGCATTATACGCTTACTAATTGACACAGTTAATTATCTTGCATTTCCAATCTTTTACTGCCTCTAAAATTTTGCTGTTTTTTTTACTGTTTATTACTGCCATCACTCAGCTTTTCAATTTTTTTTCCAGCCCAATTAAAAATCTAGATTCAAACTAATTATTAGCCATTTCAAATAAATTACCTATTAGCAATTTCTTTTGTTTTTGAAATTTATCTTTTTCTCTAATAAATCATTAACGGCTATTTTCGATATATGCATACAGGCTAATATTGTCAACTTTCTCCATTCCGTAATTACAGTACGTACACACATTTTCCGTAATTGCCGGTTTATTTTCACTAATATTTTCCTTAATTAGTTTTCGTGCACGTACCTTCAGCATTTTGATGAGGGGCTCGAGGATCTCGGTCTCGGCGATGCGCAGACGGAACTTCATGGCCATGGCGCAGAAACTGGACACGGCCACCCCGGTGTAGTGGCTGTAGCTGAGGGTGCGGTTGGACACGAAGGAGTACAGTTTCTGCAGGATGGCCTGGCAGATATTGTCCGACGACTGGAAGATGATGGTGGCGATCAGCGACGACATGCCCAGCCGCGTGAAGCGCTCCTCCTGCGTCATGCGCTCGTTGATGTCGCGCGACACCGAGTCATGCCGGCCGTGCAGGTCGTTCGTCGAATTCAAAATATACTGCAGAAAAATATACAAAAACATTAACACCTGAAATTTGACAGGAGAAAGAACAATCACAACACCTATACGAAAATTCAGCAAAAATTAGTTTAAAACATTCGCCATAAATCAAAATACAAAGTACTCAAAATGACGATAAAAATCCGAAAACAATTCGCAACAAATGAAATAAAAAAATTAATATTCAAAAATTAAGTATTCCTGTAAAAATTAACTTAAAATAATTTGCTACAAACAAAAATATTAAAATTAACGATAAAAATCTAAAACAATTCGCACTAAATTGTGATGATAAAATAAAATTAATTTCAAATAATTCGTAATTATTAAGGAAGAATGCTTATCATCACGAATATTTACAGTTAAACAGCGTTCCATGCACTGTAGAGCGAAATCCTCGAATCCTGACGTCTCCAGGCACAGATCACGCTCCTCGGGCGTCAATTCGTCTCGGTCACCGTAGCGGGATGAATCTTCCAGCGGCACCATAGACAGCAAGGCACTGCAAGTAAAATACATCACAATCATAAACCGAATGACTGTAAATCAAGAAAACATCCGACTACCACTGGATAGCAAGACATATGATGCGATAGTCATACTCGGTACGACGAATACACGATAACGCCGTGAAAATGTTGTTTACGAGCCAAAAACTTTCACTAAGTTTCTCCTTGATATTGGTTTACATTTGCTCAGTATATCTTGAATTTGTATCTGAAAACCTCAACATACTGTTGAAAAATCAAATCTGAAAAATAAATTTAAAATTTAAAAATCATTACAGTAATTAAATTTGATAAGCAGATTTTAGTGCCGATGTTCAGGGGGAACATGGAATTAATGTAGTAGAGCGGCGTGAGGCATATAGTCGTGAACAATAAAATTAGTTCGCTCCACTGCTCAGATTCAGACAATTAACGTAAATATGCGAAAAGAAATTGATTAACTTTTTTCTCTTTTCTTAAAATACGCACTATGAAATATTCTTAAAATAGAAACGGAAAATCGTCAAAAAATACCAAAACTATTCTTTACGTATCCTTACGTGAGAAACTGGAAGGTGCAGCCGCTCTTGCGGAAATCATTGGAATCAATCCCCGGAAGAACGCCCAGCAGCAGCGGCAGCACATGTTTCCGTCCATCCGGCATCATCAGCAAACTGCGCATGCACATACTCATGCCCGAGAGCGAGACCGTCAATCTAAACCCGTTAAAAATAAATAAACAATTCACAACATGGAAAATATTACGAAAAATGGTCAACATAAAAATCCGAATGAATTACGCACCGCTGCGGCTCAGTCAAGGCGTCCAGCGCCGGGTACAGTCGCTCCAGGATGTCAGGGACAATCTCCTCGGGGCAGAGCTCGGCCAGGTTCTTCAAGGCGAACATACTTTCCAGGCGGGGCCCGATGCTCTTACTGTACATATTCAGCAGCACCAACGGCTTCATTCCTTTAACGAAACGCCGGATGGTCGCGTCGGTCAAGCGGGCGTCCACGGGAACCTCCGGCGTCCAGGATTTTTCCCTGCCAAATAAGTAACGCATTCCTTCACATAGTAATTTTTAACTGTCCGCCGCGATAAACAAAAATTCATGGTGAAAATGCCGAGAAAAAAAAATAATGATACAATAAAGATGCGTTTCCGCAATTAAGTCCTAGGGGGGATAAAAACCTTACACCCATTCGAGTAATCCGGAAATTCAGAGGAAAAATAACTCGAAGAAAAAATAAGAAATTTTTGTGAAACACATAAAATCGCAAAGGGGTGAAAATTCACAAATTCTTTCTTTATTCATAACCGAAAACAATTATGATGAAAAAACAATTAATGAAAAAAGCGTTTATATAATCAGGAAAGTTGCCAATATAACTGTATAAAGAAGAAATTCACGGTAAAAACATATTATATACAGTACATAAACAAAGAAAAATTCTACAAAACGAAACATTTTTCAAAATATCACGTATGGCTAATAAAACAGGAGAAATTTGAAAAAATTCAGATATAAATGACTGCAAAACTGCTAATGCAATGCCTATGGCTATGAAATAGGAAAAAGTCAAGAATGAAATTCACATGTAGATGACTGGGAACAAATGAAAGGAAAAATAGCTTATAAAATGCCGAACCAAATCGGAAAATTCAAAAAAAGTTCAGATATAAATGACCGTAAAAGCGATAATCACGGAAATTACTGTAATTCATTTAAAACAGAATTATTTCTCAGCGCAGTGTTACCGGTATCGTTCCGCATTAACCCGCGCCACCACCCCCAAGGCCAGCCGCATAATCACACTGGACAGATTACCCGACCATTCGCCGTGGTTGGACGGATAAAAATACGATTCCACAGCCTTAAACAGCGTCTCCAACGCCACCAGGCACTCTTCATGGTGCAGCATGCCCACCGGCCACATGGCCGCACTGGTCGCATCGAAGGCCTTCCCCCCGAACACCAGTTTCAGCCGCTTCTTCCCCACCGGAAGCTTCAGATTGCGCAGGAACTTGTTGAAGATGACGCTGATGTACGGGCGCCAGTCGATGTGGCCGCTGGTCTCCAGCGCGACCCGCGCCAGCAACGACACCAGATCGCTCTCCCAGGTCGGCACACCCGAGAACGTCATCCAGATTCCTGTCAACATCATGCATAACTTAAAAAAAAAACAAATATCAGAATAATCCCCACTCACAAAACACACGACGTGCGATAGAAGCAATGAAGCCAAATTTACATGTACGCTTGTAGCAATGGCATATTGGGCCAGGTCAATTACATCTGGGTAACCATTGCGCGTCGGGTAACGGAGAAACGCGTAAAAATCTGTCCATGACTCAGCGAAAAATTTATCGTCCAAACGTAAGTCGAGTACGCTTCCGTGGCAAGAAAGAAATTGAACAACTAAAAAACTGAAGTGGAACCGAAAATTTTATTTTTGATGCTTTAATGTGGTACTACAACAAAAAAGTTAATTCTGAGTTAAGGAGTGTCAATCTGGGTCGCTGGATGCACTTTAGGTTCAAACAAACAAAAATTTTGTTGATCTATGCAGGAGAGTTACGAGTTACTCGTAGTTTGGGTAACGGTTGCGCTTCGATTTCGAAGCGCAACAGTTACACGCACGGGTAAGCTGAAAACCCATCCCAGAATTCTGGTTTACCAATCAATTCGTTTACCTGCTTACGCGCCGTGACGTCATGTTTTTTTACCCGACTGCCGCTTGCGCGTCGCGTAAGACTTACACAGAGCAATTGCCCTGGCCCATTGTAGTGCAAGGGCTGTAGAACATAAATGTCATCATTGCAATTAAACGGTATATTACGAGTATAAGAAAAAATCGCAATGTGAATAATGTTGTTTTTTTGCGTTTTCATATCACATTTCCGAATTAAACTGCCGTTCTAATGATGCAATTTTCCAACTAAATTTCGCAATTTCGTAATTTCGTTTGGAAAAATTTTTGCATGCACTAGGCAATGCCTGTAGAAGGGTTGGCAGTATTTTTTTGTTTTCTTACCCATCATCTCATCGAACCACACTTTCCACGGCTGCTCCCCCTCGCGGCCGACGGTGGGCAGGAACATACTGAAATACTTGATGGCCTTCTTCATGGAGGAGGAGTGCGGACAGAGCAGGGGGCGCCAGGTGTCCAGCATCTCCTGGGCGGCCTCCGGGGCGAAGTATACCCGACAGAAGTGGATCAGTTCCGTCAGGCGCCGTTCCAACGAGTCCGGCACACTCATCAGGCCGTGCCATTCGTCGCGGTTGTACTGAAAGTGCTCGTACGTCTCGTACAGTTTCCGCCACGGGATCTGCACATCGTCCGGCGTCAGCAGCTCCGTTTTGCGTAGTAAATCCTGTTCGAGAAACGCGAGTGTACAGTGCACAATTGAAACCAGAAACTATAATTTCTTTTACGGTATTTATTAAGCAGCACGATACACCTTAAAAAGGCAACAGTAATACGAATGACCACATACCGCAGTGGCATGCAGATGCCGACTGGTGCTAAATCGAAAGCAATCGCGAATTGTATGGAAAGGCAGCTGTAATTCTACCATAACAGAATCTACCGCAACAAAAATACTTGCATAAACTTTTCAACAAATCTCAGAAGTTTCGTAGAGCAGTGTCATTGAGGTGCGGGATCACAAATATTTACCAATGCAAACCAAAATTATATTCAACCAGATCTAAATCGCTTTTTTGCATCAGCTGATTGACCATTTAAAACCGTGTCTACTACTAAATCAGCAGTAGAGCTAATAAACAACCGATTAAAAAACGTATTTCTTTCAAATTACGACTTCTGTCTTAGTAATTTCATTCTGCTTTCTTTTAAAGGTTTGCTTGTTCTCTTGGAACCTAAATATTAAATTCTCCGATTTTTTCAAAATAATTCTCTAATTAACTAAGTAAGTGATCATTTTTCAATTTGATTAATTGATTAATTACTTTTTTAATTCTCCGATTTTTACATTTTCTCCTTTCCAAACTATTACACTGAATATTTAAACATTTACGCTGTGTTTTATTTTTTATATTTCTAATTTCTTAGCACACACTCACCGTTAGAATCTGCGCGGACCGCGCGACAATACTGGCCTCCATGTTGTGGTCGATGACCAGCTCGAAGAAGAAGCGCACCAGCTGCACATGGTCGGCCTTATCAAACCGCCGGCCGTACAGCCGCAAATACTGCTCCATCCGGCCGAACCACAACACCAGCCCCGGCCGGTAGTCCCCCGTCAGCACGGAGCGCGCCAGGCCCTCCTTGATCTCGGCGAACCACGTGGCCGCCTCCTCCTCCAGCAGGGAGTGGTAGGGCAGCATGAAGTTGGCGCCCAGTTGTTGCTGGTAGTGTTTGCGCGCCCGTGGCGGCCCGGCCGTGGAGGAGCGCCGCTGCAGCGCGTCGTACTCCTCCTGCTCGTCCTCGTCCAGGTCGTCCGCGTCCAGGACATGCTCCGCATCCGCAATGTCGATCTCCAGCATCTTGGCTCCGATTTCTTCTACAAACACCAACGCACTTGATTAATCTCAAACTCTTCCATCATTTAATGGTTTTAGTGATCGTGGAAGATAATTTTAAATTTTTGTTAAATAATTTTTAAATATCCGTGGTAATTCGTCACATATAATCCATTTTCGAGAGCCCAAAAATTTACGAAAGCCGCCAATTTCGCCAAATCTTTCGCAAAGAAGCACAAGATCAATCGCCTAAATATGTATTCAATCGCTAGCAAAATTTTCCTTCAATTAATTTTTTTTACTGGTTTTGTAAAATATTTTTTAGCGAAAAGTCCATTTTCGAATATTCAAAAATAATTATTGCAGCTGCTAATTTTTATAAATTATTCACACCATGATATCATGATTGTTTTGGCGTAATAAATCTTCGTTTCTAATTTTTCTATCTAGCAAATATTATGCGCATATAAATTTAATTCTTTTATTCCAGTTCGAATAAATCAAGAATTAGAAATTCAAATACGTAATATTACTTCACTAAAAATGTCTAAAATACTAATTACGGCAAAATTAATTTTCGTTGCATTTGAAACAAAGATGGTAAAAGAAGAGTAAAAATTATGCGACGGTTACGAGAACTTAAAACTTAACCGATAACGTTAGAAAAAAATCAAAAATCTTCGAGACAGGTAAACAACAAACGCTGAGAACCCGCACCATACGACGCGCTCTTCTCGCCGATGATTTGCAATAACCGTCGTGCCATGACAAGTAAATTTCCATAAAACTACACAACTAACCACAAATTTGTAACGACTGCCATTCTTAGTACCTGTTCGTTCACGACTGCAGGCGCATAAATACTGATTTCCGCGATGGGGTCTTATCAGCGATTAGGGCTGTGCTGCTCCGTTGTGCAGCATCATCAACATCGAACGATCGATTAAAGTGAAAGAGAAATTTCTGGATAAAAAAACGGATGGTCTGATTGGTGAAAATAACAGAAAAGGTAGGAACGTATAGAAATACCTGCGATTCTGCTGACAAATTCTGCAATATCACGCGAAGAACCAAAATAAATGGACGTCCCTTTTTCAGCAAACCACAATAATCCAATGGGTATTTAAAAGTTAGAAGAGAAGCGAGGCGAGGCTGCTTCGCTTTAGTGAACAACAGTAAAAGACGAACGATTCCCCTCTAGCCCCGGATTACCACTGAGTTGGCCTCGCTACGCTGCATCAGAGTGGCTTTCATTCAGAAAATCCGAAAATAAATCATTCAAAATAAATACAAAATTCTGAATCAATTTTTTACGTCTCTTTTTAGTCTTCTGTTGGTTTGGATTAGCGGATGATCTGAATCGCAACAGCATTTGTATCCGGCAATGGTGAACTACTACGACGAGGTTCGTCTGAAGGATCACTCTCCCTGCGCGGAAGTGCGCGCGGATCTGAAAAACTGCTTACTCCAGACAGACTGCTGCGCGGTGGTACGTTCAAAATAACCAGCGTTTTAATTTTGATTTTTTCGCCTATGATCACAGATTTTTACAATTTCTCCAATTTGTCAATTTTGATAAGTAACTTTGACACTGCGGTTGCACGTTGCTAGTTTTGTTATTAAGTATTTCGTAGTGTTTCGCGTTTTCTTCCTTTTCTCAGTTTCTGGATAGAATTCGGAAAACTTGCGAGATTGTATTTTGATTGTTGGTACTCGGAGTGAATTTTCTTCTTGTTACGCAGGAGAGAAAGACGCCCAAGCAATGCCTCATCGAACATCATCCTTCAGGTAAACCGATACATTCTCATTTCTTCCGATAAATATCCAAACAGCTGATTTTGTATCGCAAAAAATGTGTTGTGGTTGAATTGCAGTCCCGGATGAGTGTTATGCGCTGCGGACAGCGTTTTTCGAGTGCAAACGATCTTTGGTAAGAAAAATTAATTAAAAACGCTATGTATTTGGTGATCTGGAAACTGTAAATTGCGTTGCGTGTAAGATTTATTTGACGAAGTTTACCTGGTTGCAGATTGATATGCGATCGCGATTTCGCGGGCCGAAGGCGCAATGAGTGGACTTGTAAAATAGTCAAATGTGTATGTTGAAGCTTGCTGGCTGCTTTTCACTGCTATGCAGTGAATATTTGCAGTGAATATTTTAGCTGTATTTATTTGTCATAACTTCGGCTTGTGTGCATTTTTATTTGTGAATGTGATGGAGAAATATGATGAATATTATGGGTAACTAAGTGAAAGTCGCTTTAAATTCGGAAGTGTGCAAATAAAAATGGGAAAAAAAAGTTGAAACGGAATTGAGAAGTTTCAAATCTGGAATTTTACAATTTTTACTTCACAATTTCCGCTGATTGATCAACAGAAATTCGTGATTTCGTAAACCGTAGCGCGTGGCGGTTGCCCCGGCGCACAAGGCACGTAACCGCAACGCACCGCCCATAATTGCATAAGCCGCCTGACGTCAGCCGATCACCCTCACTCCGCATGCCAGCCGACCAATCACACGGGCCCACATCAGGTTCCAACACAGCTCGCATTCAGTCGCAATGTCAGTGTGTTGCGCACACTGGCAGGAGTAGTTTAATAAAGACATTTTCTCCCCTTTCCTAGTGATGGTTTCTTGAAGATTTTCATTGAAGTTTGTTTCGTTTACCATCCAGAAACGAAACAAGCCATGGCCCCCCAAATACTGATTAAGCAGGAAGTCAGAAGTGTCAAAGAGTGCAGTCCCTCGCCCAGCATCACCTCCAGCGTCGAGTCTGCTGGAGGGAAACGCAAGCTGGACTGCGATGATGGCGTCGATCGCGAGAAACGACGGTAAATTCTTTCGACTTTGAGGCTAAGGTGTTATAGAAGAAAAACTGAAGGGATGAAAACGTGAATCGTTGTTTAGGAAGTTGATGAACCGCGTTGCAGCCCAGCAGAGTCGTGATCGTAAACGACAGTATGTGGATGACCTGGAGAAGGAAATCAAGAAGTTACGCAACGAAGTGAGTCTTCAATAATCCTTTTTGGTCATAAGTTATTATCTTCATTGCCTTGGAGATCGGGCATTAGTCACTGTTATTATCCAATTTTCAAATTTATAAAATTAATACAGTTTTATTTTAATGTTTATGCTGCACCTTTAAATTTGCATTCATCCTGCAGTTCTCCTTGTAAAAGAAATATTTTTAATTCTTCGTTTGTTTTACCTTGAGCAATTTCCTGCTTGCTTCCTGTTGTTTTTAAAAGCGTTTTCATTTCTGGATAAAACTTAAAAGTTTCGAATTGTGGAATGTAGTTTTCCATTCCCGATTAGGTCGGTTTTCCAAGAACCGTGCTTGTGATAGGCTGACGGAAATGACGTCATTTCACACTTTGCCTTACCACTACGGGCGGCGTCTTCATGCGTGTCACCACATTTTTGTGAGCCCACATTTTAACACTGAGAATTTGCGTAGTGTAGTGTACGAGTAAAACACGAGTTTCTTCCGATTTCTATAGATCTCGCTGAAACCAAAATTTTATACGCGAGGCATTATAATAAATATCTTTGTTTTTTATTTGCAGAATACCACCTTAAAAACAGATAATCAGAAACTGCGATCGCAAAATGACGAACTGAAAATCGAGAACGAAATTCTGAAGGTACGTTGTCGTTGTTGTTTTTCCATCCGCTTTTTAATGCTTCCATTCAACAATCTTGTCGAACTCGCAAATTTTGCAAAATATATGTTTTTGGTACGATTATACATTTTGTCTAGTTTGTTAATGTGGTGGTATTTGTTGTGGTAGACGGGAAGTGTGAAGGCTGAGTCGTGCCCCACCGTAACCAGCAGCGACGCCAGCATCGTGCCGGAAGCCGTTGACAGTAGCCCCATGGCCTTTGAGTCCGCCGCGCTCATTAGTGGTCCTCTGCAGCAGGAACAGGTCATGAGGATGCTGATCAACTGGCTGATGCACTGTGTCTGGATCATGCAGCTGACCTCGACTCGCCGGATCTCCTCGCAATCCTCCAGGACATTTGGGCAGACCTTAATGGAGCGCCTCAAGCTGCTCCGTTCCCAGATCAAGCTCAGGTGCGTACCCCATTGAAATTCACAACAACAATATTCCCTTTTAGCACCGTGTTTTTTCCCTTATTACCTCCTTAAATTCTTCTAATTATCGCGCCTTTTTTGACAGTTTTTGTACGTACTGTATAGCATGCCGTCTGTTGCAACATATAACATTTTATTGATGTTGAAATTTTTACATTTTTTAAAGCAGTTTTGTCCGATTTTTCGCCGCATTTTTCTACACAGTTAATATTTGAAATGTGCTGTTAACCTATTGATAAAATGTGCTAGTGGTAAAATGCGTTAATGTGCTATTGGTAAAATGGCAGGATTTTAAAACCAGAGCTTGAATTTTGTGGCGTTTTTGGCGTTATTTCGTTACGTATTCGACTTCCTGCTGTACGATAATTTGCTGTTTTTCTCGGCTCATTAGCAATTTAGCCTTTTTTTTGAATCCGTGTTATTCAGAATTCAGATTAATCTTTCTGTAATGTTTCTCGCATTCCCGTATATTTCTTTAATTTTCTTGTTTTTCGTCTTAGTTTTTCTCGTATAATTGTTGTCCTAATTTTTAAAAAATTATTTTTCTAATTTTTAATAATTGTTATTTATTGCCCTAATTTTTAATAATTTAATTTCTTGCGTTTGTTCAGTTGTTCAGCGTCGAAGGACTTGCGGGAGCCATGGTGGGGCCCACACCAGCAGAGCTGGAATCCCTCCAAGATCTCCTGCAGTGCGGACCAAACCGTGCCCCTCTGTTCGTAGTCCCGCCCCTCCTGCTCGACGACCCCAACAGCGCCCCCTGCCACCCCCTCATCCACATCCCCGACGACGACACCCTTCCCTCCTCCAGCACCCCACCCCTCCCCCTGGTCCCCGCCTCCCCGGTGGCCAGCGACAGCGGGGTCAGTTCGCTGGGCGAGGAGGAGCTGGATGATCTGTACTGGAAGGAGACGCTGCGGGATCTCGATCAGATGCTGACATCCTTCATCGTTCCCGTCGAATAACTACACAGTTCATCGTTATCTCATTAGTGCACATTTCCGTGTTTCGTTTTTTTAACTCTGGTAATAAATCCTATCTGGTGTGTTCACTGTGCAGCATTATTATGCATGTAAAAATTGGGATTTCTCTCGGCAAGATTAATTTTATCATTGGTTTTTACAAAGTTTAATATCTATTTATTACGTTTATGTCGGTGTGCATGGGTTTCTCGGTCGTCATAAGCCGGTCTTATGTTTTGGTGGCTCGGGATAATTTCCCGTTATTCGATTAATTTTGTCTTGTATGGTTCAAGAATACATACAAATGATTAAAATATTTCGTTTTAATTAATGGCTTGCGTCGCGTATTATTTATACGCTCAGCATCTACACTTTATCTGAAATTGCTGCAGCTGCGTTTTTAATATGAACTTGCCATACCCTAGCGCAAAACGTAGTGTATGGGATTTAGCAGTTGATCAATAAGATGGAGTTTTTGGGATTCCCTGCCTATTTATTAAATAAACGATGATCAATTTGTTTGTATAACCCTTTTTTGAATTTTTACGTGCTGAATAACAAAGTGAAAATGTTTTTTCGTTGTCAGACACTTTTTAGTTTGTAGTAGACAAAAGCCATCAAAATAGCAATAAGTGCAAATGCGGGCACACTATATGTACAATACAGAGTGCTTTACTGGTAAATAAATTTAAAAGAATAAAAAACAACCAAAACTTTTTGTTTTCGTGTGACATAATTAGTCGTATGAATTTTCGAGTACGATATATGAAACTGTAATGAAAGACATATACAGCAGATTGCATAATGATTAATGGAGTTAGAACTTGAACGTAAAATTGTTTATCAAGTTCTTAAGTAATTATTGCATTTAATTTGTACTCGACTATGTACACTTCAAATGCTGGAATTACACTGCCAAATTTTTAACTGCGAAACTATGCCGCAACCAGTACACCGTAAGTACATCATCAATAATGCTTTCTAAATCACAAGTATCACCTGGGCGTGGTCACACCCTTCAATAAAATTTAATTATCCCCGAAAACAGCAATAAAATCACACACTAGACTACACCCGGCCTCAATTGAGGCAGACCTTCTGCCCGACCAGCAGCCGACTGCAGTCGATATTGCGGTTGTAGTTCTGGATGGTGGCGCGCGCCAATCCGTACGTCTCCCCGATCTCCTCGCAGGAATCCCCGGGCGTCACCCGGTGGCTAAACGTGCAGCGTGGCAACGGCGTCCTCCCTTGTCCCGTGTGCTCCTGGGACGTGGCGGGTTCGGCGTCCAGACGCAGGAACATCACGCTCATTACCAGGACCACCACGGTCAACCGCTTCGCATAACCGAACGACATTTCTATACCTTCTAAAAAATATTTTGAGCAAACAGCAATGCGTTGGCAAATGTTTGTCAGTGTGTCGTTCTTTAGTTCTCTCGTGTTGTGTGTTTAATTTCTGATACACATCACAAGCAGTTTCGAGCGTGCATTGAATGGTGGAAATGTTTATCTGATCCGATCACGATCGGTCAATAAAATTAAACGTTGATGTGTATCCAGAAGGGAGAGTTAATAACGCTGCGGTTCGGCGGTGTTTTATGTGTAAGGATGGGTGCGCGTGGTGTTTTTAATGCGGCTGTTAAAATGATCGCGATATAAAAATGATGCCGCACTGCTGAATCAGCGCGTATAACGGAAATCGGTAACAAAGCGGTGCCGGGCCACTGCCGGCGCTGCTGTTTAAAATGCTAGCTGTTTTTATGGGCGTGTTCGGACTGTAAACGACATACCGTATGTACATACAAACGTACAAACGTGTAGCATAAAAAGCCGACAAATTATTGTCGACAAATTACTTACAGTCCAACATAAGAACAGCGTGAAATTATAAATCGCAAGGTTGTATTGCTGTTATTAGCTTAAATTAGGCTGAATTTATGGATAAAATTTAAAATTATAAAGATTTAATTAATTGTTAGTTCCTTTCAAGTTTCAATAACACTTAAAACCAAAATCGAACAATAACCCAAATTTTGTCAAAAAATCTATCCAATCAGCGGATAGCAAATCAGATTTAAAACCTTTCGTTTTTTGTATGAATTCGAGTTACAAAAAAGCAGCGTATCACTTTTTGTGCGGAAACTGGTAAATGAGCGACAATATACCCATTACCCAATTCAATAATTTCACCCGAAATTTTCCAGGAATTAATAATAATAACTGCTGAAAAATTTCCAGTGAAATTATTTCTTGGAGGCATACAATCACGGCGTCCACCGTATGTCTTTTCCCATTATTGCTTTCCAGAAAGACCGACAATAATTAACACTGCACTGCGCTGCGCAATACACAATATTGAATATATACATCCGATCGACACTTGAGTAGGAGCGGATATCTAAACCGCGGTCATGGTTGCGGGCGGAATAATGGTCCCCGTATTTAACCATGCATCTTTCCATGTACACCGTACACGTCAGCATCGATTTACAGAAAAATTTGATATTACAACAACGCGCATGACGCTGCACACGTCGGAAAAATTGATACATCTGTCCAACAGGGGCGTTTTTGAGTGAGAGCGCTGCTAAATAGGTGGCAAGTGGTTGCGAGAAAAAAAGCGCCGACCAAAGGGAAGCAAAAGGGAGACTCTTCGTCGAGATGCCTGCCATTGTTTTCCCCGGACTCCATCGATCTAATTCAACGCCCGTGTACGATGGGCTCGATAATGATGCGGCGCGTGCACGGTCGATGGGGCTGCTGCTGCACTACTGCGGTGTAGGGAAGCGCAAGAGGCAGTTAAAACGCCACTTGCTAATCAAACTCCGACCGCTGGTATTGTCAGCGCAACACCGCTTGTACGCTGACTACAGCGCAGAGAGCTGACATTCAGGTAGGAATTTATACGCTGGCGGGCACGGCGGAAAGGGATACAGTACACTCACTATTCTTATGCTTGATCCCGCGCACTGACTGCCTCACTGTTCGGTGCTGTTGGAGTGGAACGCGCGCCGCACCGCTTATCGATCAACGATCGCCCCCATTCCACCGCCATCACTGTGATTAACCGCGCGTTACCGCATCTTTACAGGTGGTGGTGGTGGATGCGAGGGTTTAAGGCCGCGTTGCGTAATCGTGGAGGCTGCGACATTGTTCTAATACAGCCCGTTTCGCCGGCTACGGGGTACAGTGTAACCCAGCCAATCTGTAACCCAGCCAACACAACTTGTAGTATCGAATTTTGATAATTTTCTGTTGTCCACCAGGGATGAATATTCACTCAGCGGGAACCTAATAAAACCTCTTACAAGTTAAAATTATCTGGACTGACTGGACAGTGGTCTGCACGTACCGCCCCGCCGCACTGCACCGAAAACTGAAAGGTCACCCACAGGTGTAATTCGTACATTTCGTAGTACATATACTGCTCTGTGGTAGTGTATTCAAATTCCATTACATTTTTACTTGGAGTTTCCGTACGTGGTTGATAGTTATCACAAATAAACAATTATACGCAAGTTTCAACATAATAATTATTAATTTGTCGATGCTGCGGCTGTAGACAACGCGTGCTGGCGGTGCTGCCATTTAAGTTTAGAAGAACTTTTTTCAATGGATCATTCAGTTTTGTCTCCTGTCGGGCTGCCAACCGAAGAAATGCAGTGAAAACTTACTTTTATGTTTGCAACCTGTTGTTCTTGTAAGTAATTGTACATTTCGCAGTTGTTAAACATTTGAATAAGTAAAGACTGCCGTAACAGAATTTTTTCTCACTGGTCGCAAGATGGTCGATCCTTCCCATTTCTGTCGTTACACTGGACCGCAAACTGCCAAACTTCCGGAGTGGCTTATGCCACAATGCTGTACTACTCGATGCAACGTAGGGTCGTATATCGAGATATAAAATTTTCAGCTAATTGGAATGTTAACCCGAAAGAATATTATCTAATGCCTATTCACTACAGGTCAAAGGTCATGATGAACCACAACTTCCCAAGAAATTCTTTGCGCAAACAACCGCGCTGTGAAAACAACGACCAGATTAATAGCTCCCTGCTTAAAAGGTTTGAACCGAAGTGCTCGATGCGTCTTTCCACTGGAGCAAGTGCAACAAGTTCAACAAGACAGCAACATTTCTATTACAGTAATTCAACAACCAGATACCAACATTTCCCCGCCCGTGCACCACTAGCAGCGATCACACCCGCGGTAAGTATTCCCGGCGCACAGGTGAACCTGCCTTCCCACCATCCCATAATCCCGCTTGATCTCCCGCACACGTACGTCTCCACATACAGCTCCCTCCATACACACACACTGGCACATCCGGGTAAGTGAATGTACGCACATGTCGCCGTGGGGATTGGCATTGAAGCTGCAAAAAGAGACGAGCTCAAGCACAGCACTTGTAGTCTCTCTCTCTTTCTCCCTTTCTCTCCCTCTACCTCCCTCTCTTCCTTTTCTCTTGTGCCAGAGCACAACCAAACTATAATGTGACATTTGCTGCTATTTTGGCCGTTTATCAGTACTCAACGCATTCTCAGCCACTGTTGGCCATCTTTTCCTCTAATAATATCGATTCGCACCGCAGACAATAATTCTCTCGAGACGACATCCAGCTACTGGTGTGTGTCCAACCACTTTCCGCATTCTCCGAAAAAAGTGGGATCTTCCGCTGTGGAATAACCAAAACCTTGTGTGTTTTCTTCCCAATCGACTATTGTTTCATTACGTCATCTTATGGCACGATGAATCCGGCGTTGGTCATCCGTTGTCGGCCGGCATTGGTAATGTGTCGTTGTCCATGGGTTGCGGTGCATCCTCGTTAGCGGCAGCCGCGGCGGTTGACGGCGGCGCGGATCAACCACCCCCGTCCTCCATGCAGTCATGCCTCTCGTGGCCATCGCGTGTCTTCCTCAACCGCTCCCGTGTCAGCAACGGGAAGGATGCCCCCAAGAAAATGCCCAAGATCAGTATCCGGGTGGGCATGAATGTTACCCGCCCCGGTCCGTATCTGGGCCCCAAGATCATCTTCATCTTCGGCGGACCCGGGACGCATAAGGGCCGCGTGGTCGATGATGTCGCTCAAATGTTCGGCCTGACCGTGATATCGGGTAAGTGTGGCTAATCGGGATCTGGTGACGTCGCGCGCGTCATCAGCGTGTTCGATAGGAGAGTTTGCGTAATGCGTCCTTGGAAAAATACTAGGTAGATTCTCCGATTTATCGATAAAATCGTTTACCATCCAACTCGGGGGTGGAAAAAGTGACCTAACGGTCAAAGTTTGTCGTATTGGCTATTTCTTGTTTTCCATTGGTCCGTATTGTGTGTCGCATTTTTTTTACTATACTTTAGGATGCCGGTTTTTCAGGGAATTGTAGACGTTGTAAATGTGTTTGGGCTTGTGGAAAAATCCATAATTAAGTAGGCTGAAAATGGGGTGGTTGATAATGGGAGGATGAATGAATAAATTGTGAGGCTGCACACAAGTAACCAGTGTGTGCCGTGTGGGGGTGACATTTTCGTGTAGGCCGCCCGCACCGGGACCGGCTAATCGCCGTCATAAACAATGCCCCATGTCGTTACGTCATCGATGGCAGAAAGCACTTTCTCCTGTCAGCCTGCATCCGGTAGACCGTCAGGACAATTTATGCTAATTTTTGGGGCGTTGGTCGATCATATAAAGTCATCCATTAAAATTTCAGTGATTTTCCATGAATTTAAATAAGTGCTTCTAGGATTTTTTCGTAATCTAAAATTCAGGAATATGTTCTGTTACCGGCTTACCGTAGTGTTGTTCTACAGTAGATAGTGTTTTCTTTTTCGGGCGAATTTATTTTAAAACTTAAACCAAAAACGTTCCTGTATCTCAAGATTAACGACAGTTGCCGGCTGTTGTAAACTGTAAGGTATCGGCATCCAAAAAGAGATTGCTTTGCTCTTGGATGCGTAACGCAAATGAACTCAGAAACGCTGACATGTGCCCTAGAAAGCGAGATTTACGTACAGTGAAGAATAAAATAAATGTCCCGCTCAAGCACCTCATTGTCGCTGCGATCTTTTGATCCCACTTAGCCGGCGTCAGCGCCAACCCCCCTCGAGGGCGGCCGCCGGTCCCGTCACTTCCCACATGTACCGGACATTAGGGTGGCGATTATGCCGGGTTGTTTTTCTACCCTCTTCTCCTGCAGCTGACAGTCGAGAGAGGAAACAGAAGAACCCGAGTGTTGTTCTATAAATGGTTCTTGACAAGTTTTTCCAACTGTCTGTGCACACACACACAGTTTTATCCACACGGCCTCGACAGTCTCCTCACACTGTATACAAAATTAGCAGGTTGTTTGCCGCACGAGGGAAATTAGACGCGGCCGATCGATAGGCACCTATTGAACCCGCGGGTGTACAGAGAAAGGAGAGATCGTCCGTTGCGTACCTTTTCACCAGTGATTAAAGGCTGCTCCGGCCCCGGCATCTCGCATTTGTGTTGCATAAGCGAACGACCCACTTCCCGTTTTTGGATGTGGATGTGTGTATGTATTCTTCGATCGCCCGCGGAATTATGATGTGCGTGTGCAGCGGTATCGAACTACAGCTGACGCACACCGATACAGTGGCGCTACGTGCCGGTAACTGTGTTGATTCCCGCGCGCAGCATCCATTTTCCTCTTACTACATAATTAATCAATCTCTCCTGCGCGGTTTTCGTACCGCGTTCATACGGCGCCGCGATATAAACGCGGTATTAACGCCGTGCAGCGATATTAGCGGTTAAGCTGTGCGCCGATGACCTTTGGTGTATAGCGGGCTATTTATATAAGCGGCGCGCTGTTGGTGCATGTGACGCTTTTACGACGGAAATCGGGGATGTGTTGTAAACGACAGGCAGTGGAATTTTGCAAAAGCAGGTTGAGAAATAATGGTCCCGACATTAAGGAAGATTCCCCTTGCCTAATAATAATATTTGTCATATAAAAATGTGTCGTGAAACGGCACTGTAGTAACTATTCAGCGACGTTTTTAAAAGTGATTTTCCTCTAAGAATAAACTTGCAGTGTATTTTAAATCTTTTAAATAAGTATGTCGGGGCATTCAAGCCGGATGTACTGGACACGAGCGAACATTGTTCTTCGAAAGGATAATCAGAATTCTCAAGAACAATGTTTTGCGGTACCGGTTTGCTAAGCAATAACGTAGCGTTATGGCATGTCTTCAGAAAAACCACTTCTAGTCAAAACGGCCTACTGCAATACAAAATCTTGTACCGCCAGATTGTAGTTTATTTGCAAAACTGCAAAACTTTTTTCGGCCCGACCATGGAAAAAAGCGCATTAAGTGCACATACTAATGTAATTTAATTTCTTTAATTACATACTTCAAAAATTTATTTCAATTGCAGTGCCAGGAAAAAAGTGTAAGCCACACTAAATAAACTTGTTAATTGTTGGTCAGCCAAACAGACAGAACGCAGTTGTAGTGTACCGGCTGATGCTGTGGTGGAATCTCGCATGCATTCGTCAGATGTATGGCCGCATGTATCGGACGAATTCGTGCGTGGTTCCACCACAGTATCCACCGGAACATTACGACTGTTTTTTGTTTTACTTTCGTGCATCTCTCTGTCTGTACAGGTGGATGGCTAAAATCTTACTGACTGTTGACAAAGGTTATAAAAATAAAACAAGATTTTTATACGGCAAATTGTGAGGCAAAGGTACAGCAGTTAATGATTAATATCAAACTTAAAGTAATTTAATGGTTCTGTATTTCACTATTTTATTGTAACAAGAAAGCCGGGTGTGCTTATATACAACGGCAAAGATTGGGCGCACATTTCTTGGATAAAAAAATCTGGTATACTTTTCTTTCCGCCACTCATAATATGGCAATCAAGTGACATCACTTTGCACCGAGGGAAAAAACGCCCATTCAGCGCCACAGTTTTTCCCCCAGCTGTCACTGCATCCGGCTACTTTGCTCCCCCGCTCTTCCCCTTCCAGTCCACCGCACCAAGTCTCCCCTTGCACAATGACAACCAGGGTTCGTGAAAAACGCTGGAGCCCGTGTCTCTATAATCGCGTAAAACTGATTAGATTATCCGTGTAACGAGGCAATCGCGCCGGTTCAGGCGGAAACGGTGCCTGCATCGCCGGTCTCGCTCTTGTCACCGGCGGTCGGCGTTAAGGGGGACCCTGCACAGCGGGCGGCATACTAATTGTTTACCACTATCGATCCGAGAATGCGGTTGCGCTGTGTTAAGGCGCGCGATCTCAACCACCGTATTCGCCATATATGTGTATAATGTGTATAGTATTATATACTAATCCGTGTCCGATAAATCCCGACGTTTCTCGAAGACCGCGCCGTGCATGCCGGTCCGCTGGGATTTGTAAGTACACGGTCCCCCCGATAATGGGGCTAATTACCGTCGGGACCGGCGTTGGCTTGTTCCCCGATTTTCCAGGGATTAATTGATTTTGTGGTACAGATGCGTGGGACGATTACTGATTAAGTGAGAAAAACCTTTCCAACGCTTTCAGTTAAATAATGCATATTAACGCCAAAAAATATAATTACCAACGTGTAATGCTTAAATAAAAAATATTTGTAATTGCATATTAAATGGCATAGGTATTTGTACACAAAATTAATAACAAAAAATATAATCATTATACCATGATTCTTAAAATACAAGTATAAATAAAAATAAGATAAATAATGTTTAAATATTATTAAGATGTATGTTAAAATTTTGCTCATTAAGCTGTTTAAGTACGTACTTACAATGCAAACATAAATATAACTACGGCAAAGAAGTAGTCAGCAGTTGAATAATAAAATTTGAAAGTATTCGAGGTCACAGTAAACAAAGAAAATAATAATATCGCGACAGGCAATTAACACGAGATTGCCTAAAATTAACCGTTGCACAAGACTATGACGCGTTTCCGTCTCCTGTTTAATTTCCGCCTAAGCACTGTAATTACCGGCTTTCCGAGCACATTGTTATATCGTATTTTGTGGGGTAATTTCGGGAGATGTTGGCCTTAATTGTCTTCTCAGACTATGTGTCAACGTGATACATGTTATATCTTCTAATAAAAATCATAATCAATTAAGTGATATAATTATAATAATTGTCCTCGCCACTTCCGCATGGGGCGCATGTACAGCGCCCGGGGGGAGGCGGTCATTAGACGGTATAATCCCGCGGAAGAATGAAAATGACCTGTAAATCCATGTTAATCTTGTGTGCGACAGGCGAAGCCCTTCTCCTGCAGCACGTGCTGGACCGGGTGGCCTCCAGTACGTCGCTACGCGATGCTAATTCGCACAATAATGTCAAGGCGACGGCGTTCGGCGGCGCGATCGGCAGTACGATGCTGGCGGAGACCGGCAGTATCCATTCGGGCAGTCTGGCGGCGCTGGGCAGCGCCCGTCCGCGGCGCGGCAGTCTGCCTACCTCCGACTCCAAGTCGTCGCTGCGGGTGGGCGATAAGGAGGATGGCGAGCGCAGCGAGGTGGACGAGAACGATCGCATTAATACCGGGCCGGATATGCGCGGATTACAGGTGGGTTGCCGAATTTTGGTACTGTTATCCAGTGGCATTAACTAAAGTGAAGAAAATATCAAGTGAAAAATATCAAGTTATCAAGTGAAAAAAAATACACAGAATAATTATACCAAACGAAAATTCAAGGAAAAAATCAAGAAGATAATTAAAGCTCAAAATAAATAAAATTGCTGATATTGTTTTTATTGTGTTTGTGCAGTCCTTAATTAATTTTAATTGCGGTATTTTGCACCAGTAATTAACGATCCACGTGGTTAAGCAAAATTAATTAAAGACTTGAGGTGTTAAGTGAAATGTTATGTTTTTACGAAAGCCGGTTTTGTCAATTCGGCTCCAGTGTACGCTTAATTATGTAGGTCGTAGCCGCTACTTAACTCTTTCGAACATCCGGAGCGTATTGTAGGCATATGTGTAGTGTAACGGCTCTTGAATGACCGATTGGAATCATCTCTAGAAGCGGACATTCTAATAAGATAAGCACTGAAAGTACTGACAATTTATGTGCTGACAATGCTGCTCATTTAAGAGCCCAAATTTTTTAAAATTATATTTCATAAGAAAAGTTTTCTTTAGAATTTTATTTTTTGAGTTTTCTTAGGTTAACAGTGCTGTTATCTAGCGGCGCTAACTGAAGGAAATGTGCAGAATAATTGCACCAAAAAGATAAACAGAATAACGAATAATTACAGCGGAAATGAACTGGCTCTCGTTCCTAAGGTATGAATTATTTTAGCAAGTTTTTGTCACATTTTAAAAGTTTTTTGTATGATTTAATAATAAAAAATAATCGTTTTAAGAGGTATTGAGTATAATTAAACAGTTTAAATAAATATTATTATTTTATAACATAAAATTATTTAGATTCATGATGCTGTTATATATGCTGTTTAATCTGACTATATATCGCCGCTTAAATTTGGTAATTGTAGCTGGGCAATGCAAATCGAAAAAAACCCATAGAGGAAGTTAGTTAGTGTAAATTGCGTAAACACAACGCACACTTTTTTTACCGCCTCGACGCGCGATTGTCTTCTGAAGAATGTAATTTAATCCTCGAATGCCTGTAATAAAACCAGAGACCGGCAAATCCGCGCCGCGCCGGATATCCGGCGACGATGTGCGGAAAGGTCAACGGTATATATAAGCGTATCTACTCGGTATATACGTGTAATTAGCCGCGTGATCGCTCCTGTATAAACGCGAGGATTCGGTGTTCAGGATATTCTGCGGGAATACTCCTCCAGCATCACCCTGGACTGGCTACTGCAGCTGGTGTCCGACGAGATTGATCTGGGTGTGTCGCATAATGTCAGCGGCTTCCTGGTGGACCTCATGCCTAATATGCGCCATTTGCTCAAATGCGAGACGCTGATTAAGGACTGCTGGGATGAGATGGAGAAGCTGGAGGAGAAGTACCCGGTGCTCTTCTCCATTGATCTTGCCGTGCCACAGGTACAGTATACCTATGTACCCGGCATTTCTGCCGGTTGCGGTTGTGTTTCCTTAGCACGCGTTGGAGTCGCCACCTAACCGCCGCACTGATTACTGATTAGCGTTGGCCACTCAACGCTCGTGATTTCCATTTTTTAAAAAAAATGGATAATAAATAATTTGGAATAAAAATGCTGACCAGTTGCGTCTTTTTGAATGTAATTCCATGAAGTCTGAATTAAAAATTACGTAAGAATATCTAGGAAACTATTAATTGAGGTTTATTTCTTTTGTTTCATATCTTTCACTTAAAAAATTTTCAGTATTTTTTGAAATCGTGGCAGTTTGTTAAGTTACTCAATTTTATCAAAAATACTCGTACTTCTTCATTGAAAATTGCATTCAAGCTGTTTCGATTTTTTTTTTAATCACTCTGGTTGATATCTATCTATGTCTCACGCTAGTGGCACTGAGCCCGTGTACTACGAAATTGATACTGTTTAACGTTCAGTACAGTATTATCACCGATGTCGAAAATGACCGGCAATTCTACTAGTATTAATTGCACATGTGGTCGTTATTTACGTCTATCACACAAACTGGAAATTTTCGCATGTGTACTATGAGAATGCCATAATTCAATCTGAGTTGCACGGGAAATTTAGTTTACAAGTGGACTGAATTTTTTACTCCGCTGTTTTATATCATATTCGATGAGGAGAAAAGTCGGCGCTTTCCGAAAAAAGACATAATTGTTTGTGTGACTGCAGGATAAACTGCCGAAGAGCGAGGGGAAGGGCGGCTCGAAGGATAAGAAGACGAATGCGGACGGGTCGGAGGCCAGCACGTCGGACGAGATGGACTCGTACCGCATGCAGCGCCGCTACGCCCTCTACGAGTCGGCCGTCCTCAATTTCCTGCAGTACTTCCGGGAGACCGGCCGGCTGGTCAGTGTGGACGCCAGCAGCGGGGTGCCGGACCTGATCTGGCAGAAGATCAGCGACTTCCTCATCCATATGGACTTTGTGCCCAAGCGGGCCGTCAACTGTGTGATTGTCTTTGCCTTCGACGAGGACGCCTTCGTCGGCATGGATATCAGCAAGTACAGGTACTGGCTGACGGGTAGCTCACGTTGTACTAATTTACTCATCGGCAATTTTCTAACCTAAATACCGATAATTCTCAGATTATTTTGCAACTTTAACCGAAGTTTTACTTTACTTACTTATTTATTTATTTAGTTTTTAATTATCGAGATCACGTGTGATCAAGCGAAAATTAGGCTAACGTAAAAAATTAAGCATGTGCAAGTTAATCCGAAAAATCTGTTACTGGCAGTTCGGCTGCAAATATAGGTGAACGTTGCCTGTGCTCTGTAATAAATTGAATAGAGCGTAGTGTAACGGATCTTGTGTTCTCTTCATTGATTCCTGTAGTGGATAAAATTACGTTGTACTCGTACCACAGGTGATATAAAACACAGTACAACTTACAAAAGTGCGTAAATCGAGGTGCAATGATTCGAAATTTTTCTTTTGCTGGCGCTAGCAGCTGTTCGGTTCATCCAATTTGCTATAATATCTCAGCATTTAATTTGTAAGTTTTTGAACCAATCTAGTACATGAATTTTATTTAAAAGGGAACAAAATTACATGCAAAGTCAATACGAAAATATTCCACCCGTCTCGGCTGTCAAAAAGTGGCTGTTAACTTATCACAAAAGATGTTCATTTTTTTTCCGCAATCGACATTGTGATGTAGTCTGTTGACCTTTTAATTATGTGACATTGAAACCTTATGTTTTCTTGTCAAAGTCGTATCTGTAATGATAACTTCGAAGTCATATTTGTGCGTTATTGCAGGATGCTGCGTATCCGTCTGGCCAGTCTGGCCGACAACCCCTTCGCGCCCATCGAGGACCTCATCCGCAATCTGTGCCGCTTCATCGACATCTCGGCCAACATCGCCAACGCCTTCGCCGTGGAGCTCTACGGCACCTCCATCGACCGGCACATCCTCAACAGCGAACACTCCAAGCACATCCTGCGCAAGCGCAAGCTCTTCTTCTGCGAAGTGGAACAGGTCACCCTGGACCGCTACATCACCTTCGCGCCCAACGCCCTCAAACGCTTCGGCGCCAAGCCCAGTCTGGCGTCGCGGCGGTTTCAGTCGGTGTGCCTGCCGGATCAGGCGGTCTGCCTCTTCCCGCTGGACACCGAGCCCATGCTGTGCCGCATCATCGCCGCCCACGTCGGCCAAGTGAAGAGCGACCGCGAGCCGGAGTACAGTCGCCGGCCCCCGCCGACCGCCGCGGGGGAGGGCGGGACCGGGGGGCGGCGGGGGTCCGCGGGGGGGATTACCTTTGCCGTGCCGTCCAAAGCCACGCCCAATGGTGTCCAGCACCGGAGATAGAGCGGGGCGGAATTCTAATTTATGGTGTACAGACTGGTGCTTTCCTATTGGGTTGTCAACGATCGGTGTGTGCGTGTGTGTATGAGCAGGTTGAAATTTTGCGCTCTCTTTTTCGGTTTGTGCATATGCCACACATCTTCAAGCAAGTTGCAGACGAGGATTAAGCAAGCGATTCGTTAGTGATAATGCCTTTTTTTCAGGTGCAACTGTAATATTTCTACTCGTCGGTGTTTAGACAGAAAATTAATGGACATTATACGGAAAAAATGCCTTTCTCACATATTGGTTCAAGAATAAAGCCAGCGCGTTTTGACCGGGTGTTTATATTGGCGAGAAAATCAGTATGATTAAACCAGTACGATTATAGGTGACTAATGCTCAATTATTGTATAGTTGTTTAGTAAAGTTTTTCTTATTTTTAACTATTCTATTTTCTGAATTTTTTTAAAAGTTATTTGCACTTTTTTTATTTTTTTGAATATAAAAACGCACAAAATCGTAAATAAAAATTCGATTATCAATCAATTACTGCAAAGTAAATAAAGTTTTGGCACATTCGGCGCAATTTTCCCAGTGACTGTTGGCTGTAGGATGTTTTAAGACTTGTTTTTGAAAACCGGCACAGGTCCGTTAGCCATGATCCACAATAACATGTGCATTTTCGTAGTGTAAGGGCCTTTTACAGCTCTCCAAATAATCTATGGTAGAAAGCTTTAAAATAGATTGTCGAACAGTATTCCCTTTGGTTAGTGCTACTTTTTACATTTCATTACTCTTGCAGAGAAGAATTTTTTCGAAACGCAAAATGTTCCCGGTGATGGCAGATTGAAATTACTTGCATTTTCATTTTCGTTCTGATAAGCGTGTGTTACATATTTTTCCAGTCTTACTTTGAACACAGCATATATGTATGTATATGTATTGCCTATTGGCTATTGGCAATCAAGTAATTAGTTATACTTGTAACTCGTACGTACAAAAATGTTCGGAATAAGTTATTGAACTGAATAACTAAAAACATTTATTTAATCAATAAGGTAGACTGAAAATCGCTGTGTTTGAAATACAGTACTTGCTAAGAAAATAATCAGCCAATGGGGTGCACGCAACACGTACGTACAAACTACATAGACCCGCGACCTTTCACCGCACAATTAATCCATTTCCATCCATGCGTCATTCACTTGGCATCGGACACCGACAGGCGCAGTGTCTCATGCGCACTGAGCTGCGACGACATGTGGTCGGTGAGCGGCGGGATGTAGTGGCGCGGAATGATAAAGGAGGAGATGTTGAACAGATCCAGGAAGACCTTGTAGCGGTCGCTGATGGTGGAGCGCAGGTACAGGTAACCCGAGGAGCCCCCGGTCCCGGTCTTGCTGCCCAACATCCGCTGCGCCAACATGACGTGGTTGTAGCGCCACTTTGTCATCAGGCTATCGATATCCATGAGGATCTAGAAATTGATTAATTTGTGGAATGCTGATCGGAAGTTCAACGGGACTGGGTTACGTTTGCGTCAGTTGCGCTGATTACAATATGGATTAGTAAAATGTAATCTGCGCGGGATGTCGTGTTCCCGCGTGCCGAACGTGCCATGTGGAAAATTGTAAGTGTTATTAAAATTAATTGCTAACTCGATGCCGGTATTTCAAAGAAAGCCAGTACGTAACTCAATGAAGTAGGTAATGAGCCGGCGAGAGGAAAATTATAACTGATCAATCCGGCCAACTAGGCACTCGAATTAATTTTCAGTTAAGTTATGAATTTTAAGATCTTTTTTAGATTTTTAAATTTCTTTTCATTTTTGAAGTGGGTCCCTCGAGGCCTTAGTCTTAGTTCTTGAGTAGCTTTGTTTTAAAATTTTAGGGTACTTAAAAGTTTTCCGGTTGTTTTGCGTATCAAATAGTGCTGTGTTAGTAAACGTGTTGTTGATTAAGAAACTCAAGAATTCTAAGAAGCTCTCAGAAAACCTTAAGAAAAACACAAGAAACCGCTAAGAAATCCTGAGAAATTCTAAGAAACCTAGGAAACCCTAAGAAACCATCAGAAACCTATGAACTCTTACCGTTAAAAACTGATGCGGTAGGTGGAAGCGCTCCTGCGAACTGTAGCAGCTGACCATCAAAGCCCCCATAAAGGCCTTGTACGTCATACGGCGCTTATTCAACTGTCGCTCCACATTGTAGGCCCGCTCGTTGACCAGGACGTCAAACGTCTCCACCTGCTTCTTCCACTCGGCCTCTGCTGACTTGCGCTGCTCGGGATCCTCTTCGGTCTGTAGCACCGCTTCCTCGTCGGCCAGGTAGCGGCGCACGGCGGCTGCGTACCGCTGCGGGAAGTTGAAGCCGTCCTCCTCCAGACCGGGTGTCCGTTCCAGCCAGCGGATAACCAAATCGCAGAGGGAGGGCTCGGTCAGGGAGACCTGCAGTTGGGACTGGGAATCCGGATCCTGGAAGGACTGGATGATGGTGTGCTGGTTGACGCGGTTCTCCATTTTCTGGCCTAATTTGTTCTCGATGATGCGAAACTGAAAAAAGACCAGGAAATCAACATGCTGGTCGCCGGGTTTTAATATTACGATTTTAGAATTTCTTTACAATCGAATAAGTCGCATTCTGTTTTGCTGATTAAGAATTCGTATTGATGCCAAAGGTCACGCCGCTGTTTCCTGATTCGTTAGTTTTGACTATGATACACCGAAGACTTCGTTGATCGACGAAATTTTTGACGACATCAGACGCGCTCAGACAGTGGCCTCCTGGGTGGCAGCTACTTTATGGACGCTTCGAAAAAGCTGCTTATCAAACTGCAGTGTAGCGTGATTTATACCTGCAAGCTCTGGAAGCCGCTACCCGGCGCCAGGAAGCCGCGGAACTCCATGAAATCCAACGGCGTCATCGTCTCCAGCACGGCGAACTGTTCGACGCAAATCTTCCAGATGAGCGCCACCCGGTTCATCCGCTGCAGAATGGTCAGCATACTGCGCTCGCCCACGACGTCCACGTTGAGGGTGCGCCGCACCGAGTCCATCTCCCAGATGATCTGCTTGAACCACAATTCGTATGTCTGATGGATAACTACAAAGATGGGCTCCGTGAAAAATTCGAGATAGTGCAGTAAATCGTACGTGTGAAACGGACACAGTACTTTGTACACTCAAACCTGTTCGCACATGTCAAACTGGATTTTTGCCGGTTAAAATTGTATAGACACTGAAAGCACTTTTGCACATAGTCTTTGGCTGACAATAAACTGCAGCTTGCAAGTTTTTCGAGAGTAATTTTGATAAAAAAATTAAATCAAATGGGCTTCATGCGGAGGTTCTATTATCGAAAAAATAATTTTATCAACAGCAGATTAATTACCACGTAATAGGAATAAAGGCCTATACTCTGTACTAAAATATCTAAACAATTAAAATAAAATTAACAAAAATTTTAAAGGGTCAGTATATAAAAATAATTATGCGAGAAAATAACTGGGCGTATCGTACTGATGAAAAGATGCTCGTCATGTACGGGCTTCAAATTCACGGCACTCATCATATCGACATTCGACAACAGTCCATCCAGATGCAGATAATCCTTGTAGATTTTTCCCTCCACCTTGGCCGCACTGCTGTGGACATTGTAACTGCCGAAGCGCGCCGGTTTATCCTCATCCGCGACGCCGTTGGTATGGTTCTCCTTATCCGCCATCCTGCACACTTAGAAGACAATCAAAAATAAAATTTTGCAAAATACTGGTGTATGGACAGACGCCCTTCAAATACGCGTGACAGAAGGGCAGTAATAAGAATTAAGAAGGCAAAATATTATTGAAGAATCCACCGTTTTCACAGCGCAGCGGCTCAGCGTAGCCGAAGGAGATCATTTATCATTTTGTTTTAGTAGATGGAAAATGTGATCGTTAGCAGTTCAGTGCGGGTGCCGTGTTGTTGCTAAAATGTCGCAAAACTTGTTCAGAAAACTGGAATTGGATTTTCTCTGTTCAGTTCATGGTTGCACGATGCGGTTTGTATAAGGCAATTAAGACGATTATTAGAGCATTTCGAAGACTTGAGTGAACAGGTATCTGCATTGCTGATTTTCATAGAATCTTTTGCGTAAACCATAAAACAAAATATTTTCTTCATCCATACAAAAAAATTATCTTAACAAAACTTAAACAAATGCAGGCAATTATAAGCAAACTATGTAGAAATAATTAAATAATTTACCATGAGCCTTTATTCTTACATAACATATATTATCAAAAAATTACTAAATTACAGTGGAACCTCTTACTCTGAACACCCCCGAACGCTGAACACCTCCGAATCTTGAACAGCTTTTTTCATACCGGCGCTTCTCGTAATGTATAACATTAGGGGGGACCTCTGAACCCTGAACACCTCTGAACTCTGAACCGTGAACACTCTGTTACGTACCGTAGTGTGTCTTCTTAGTAAATTAGACCTCCACGACTTGAACAGAGCAGTTCAGCAAAACATCCGGAAGATCAAGCGCTCATGGAGTTTAAGTATTATTAATCGTAACTATTCGTCTGCCGTTTAGTATTTTACTGTGTGGACAAATTTTTAGTTTTTATATGAACAGCACGGCAAAAAACACGTCGCGGACAAGATAACCGCTCCTTATTCTGATAAGAAAAAGTATATTCTCGATCATTTTCGGCCGACGAATATTAAAATTTATCTTTTTAATTCTAATTGTCGTTTTTAACCTGTTGTCTTAAGCTGTATCGAACTGATCATCAAAACATGATACAAATAGTACATTGTAGATTGCTACTATATTATATCTATAACTGATATAAAGCTAGGGGGCCCCCTAAGAAGGTCTCCGCCCCTAGGGGCAGTACCTCCGAATCATGAACACCTCTGAACCCTGAACAAGAGACTGCGTACCGAGAGTGTTCAGGGTCGGGAGGTTCCACTGTAGTATTTTTAATGTTTCGACTGAACAGCGCCGTTACCAAATACTCACAAGTCACAACAATAATATTTTTAAATTTGCTACATTTTTTCGCCGCAGGTTACTTTGTCTTTTGGTAATAATATTTTTGCAATTTTTACGCAGTTAAAACGTTACTGTTTGCTGTCATTTTTACCACTTCTAGCTTGTATTTCGTGGTACAATTTCGTAGTGTAGCGGCTAAAGGCTTGGCTTGGTTAGCGTCGAGGCTCGAGTTTTACATAATCAAACAAGAACTTACGATGTTAATGTAATATTAATAAATTTTTGTTTTCCTGATGTTCTTATCGTTCTTTTTTTCAAAGAAAGCGCTGTCTGATTCGGACACAGGGTTAGTATGATTTCGATACAATTTTTAATAGCGACGCGATTAAGCGGCGGTTACCGCACAACCTGCTCGACGAGTGCTTACCGCTGGCGACTCGATTGCACTCCAAGTGTGACTAATCGCCGGCAAACAGACGTACGTAACCGCGCGCTCTCTTTGTTTGCCCTGCACACACTCCACCGCGCCGACATTTGTACGTACAACCAACCACGTACTGCGGCATCAGCACTTTCCAGTTTTTAAATTTCCACCGATCAGCCTCTGCATCCACTCTCTCGGTCTCCGTCATAATGCCTAATCATAACAGCCTCTTCATCTCCATCGACATTCTGCGCCGTCCACCAACGGACTTGTCTCTGTCTCTCTCTCACTCAATCGCGCGCGAGAGAGCGCATTGCGTCACCCATCGAAAAGACAGATCCTGATCGTAATCTGCGACCTGTTGCACGCGCTCTATCTGTCTCGCTATGGTTCTTTGATATCGCGATTGGCTGAAGATTTCTTGGCGTGATTATACGGATCTCCCGGGAAGATGTCGTCCAAATACGGTGACCTTTACAGTGAGACCAGTTACCAGGTGTACCATGCCAATTACGCCCGCAATGCCAAGGCCATCGGGGTGCTGTGGGCCATCTTCACCGTCTGCTTCGCCATTATCAATATTGTCGCCTTCGTGCAGCCGCAGTGGCTGGGAGATACCCTGCTCAGTCCAGGTAGGAACGTACCGGTGCGCACCGTAAAGTGACGAACTCAACAATGTCGTTAGTATATTCACTCTGAATGTGTTAAAATTTTTTAGCTGCAAGTTAATTTCACGCGTTTGTAATAACGGCATTTTTTTGAAATTTTCTTATAATATGGTGAAAATCTTTTGCTGTCGGGTTTGCTCCTACTTCTTACTGCCATTCCAGTGTATGGTTTCGTAGTGTAACGGCTATATACGTCGGCGCTTAATGGGCCAGTTCACACTTCACTGGAAAGTTTACCCAGAATGCATAAAATTCCAATACAATTAGCAAAAATTTTTTCAAAACGTTCGAAACTATACGTCAGCTTGTTGCTCATTTATTAAATCGCTATATTTGTTTTACAATTTTTTTTCGTGAAATAAAGCTTTTATTGTTTTTATTATAGTAAAAAACATTTACAGTTTTCAGAAAGTCATAAAAGACCTGTGGATCGATAAATGTCTGTATTTAGTACACAATAAAATTGAAATTGTGACAGTTTTAATTTTATCACGTCAAATTGCATGGGACGATTATTTGCATATTCAACAGTGTAAATTGATCCTATCGTTATAACGAACCACGAGTCCTTTCTTATTTTTATTTTTATTAATTTATTTCACTTCAGTTTTATCGACAAGATGCGAAAATTATATCATTCCGTATAGAGAATAGACAGGCAAATGATTTGATCGTCAGTAGGAGTGATGAATTAAGCGATATGGATTACTGAATAAAAAAAACCGGTTGTTGGCGCAAGTGATGTGTGGTATGCTAATTATGCACCGCACCGCAATGGCGCAATGTGTCGTGCTTAGCAGTTTAGCTATTTGTACGCACGCTGAGTGTGTGTGTGTGTGTGCGATTGGCTAACAGCCGTTTTTGTGTGTTGTTGGACAGGCACCGGACATTTCGGCTTGTACAAATATTGTCGATGGACCGGGATGGGCACCGAGTTGAGCTGCGATGGAACGCTGTGTAAGGCAGATTTTTCTCTTTTTCTACACATTCATAACGGCTTCATCATGGCCGGTGTATTTGAATTTGATTGTATTGTGCAGTGCATATTGAACTATTATTTAACGGGTTATTCAAAAACGGCTTCTTCTGCCAAACAGCCTCTGTTTGGAAAGCGATGAAAAAAATTCCAACGGCAAAAACGGGCCTTTTTACGTTTATTAATAACGTTTATTAATTTATAATAATAAAAACGTTTATTAATAATTAGTTTTACCTTTGGCTGCGAAGCCAGTGAAAGAAAGAAAATTTATCTTTACGTTATCGAAAAACCGGCATCGGCACGATTAAACAAGTGATTCTGTAGTGCACTGGCTAAAGTAATGGTCTGAAAGCAATAGAAAAGGAAGTTACGGTGATAAGAGTTATTTGCTTTCCTTGATATTTAATTTTTGCATCTAGTCCCATATACGTTATTTACAGATAAGAAAGAACATTGTTCGAAAAATTAATTTTTTGGTAGTTGAAAGGTTAATTAGTTTTTGTTAAGTGAATTTTCATGCATTTTTATTCATATCCTGTAGGTGCTTTTTAATTTGCCGGTCTTAGAAAACAGTACACACAGTTCTCCTCTAAACGCGCAGAAATGGTTTGCAGCGGATTTCTCCACGATCCCCAGTCATGCGTTTCGCGCCAGCACGGTGTTTATCGGGATTTCCGCGCTGATCATCCTGGTGTGTATTGTGTGTATGATCCTGTTCTTCTTCCTTCATCCGGCCACGGTCTACCAGATCTGCGGATGGCTGCAAGCATTTTCCGGTAAGCCGGAACCTTTGACAACATAGACTTCGAATTAAAAAATAGGATTAGACGTACGCAGATATTCAGAATTAATATCTTTCATTAAAATTTCATTATATGAAATGATCAGATAATGTATTTAAAATATCTCCGTGGGTAGGTGATAGCGTAGAACAGCGGCTTCATCCTCCTCCTCCTGACCTGCCCGATACATGCGCGCATTAGCTAAGATATCCCGAATTGCATACAACGCAATATTATAGATAGAAGTTTTCCCTTTTTCTCAGAGACTTGCACACATTTTTTCATTACTTGATTTATTTATAGTTTACTAAATAGTTTAACAATTTTTATTGAATTTTATGGTTTTTTTATAGCAGTTCCCTTTAAAAATTGTACGATTACATGCCACTCCGCACCGTGTTACCTAGCTGTCTCACTACATTTTTTTTAACTTTTCCAGTCTGCATTGGGAAAAATAACCTTTGTTGCGTTTTCTGTACAGCGCTGCTGATGTTCCTGGGTGTGGTGATTTATCCGTCGGGATGGGATCATCCGGTGGTGCGGTCGGTGTGCGGCAACGACGCGGTCAAATACTACCCGGGCGGTTGCAGTGTGCGCTGGGCATATATTCTGGCCATTCTCGGCATGTTCGACGCCATCGTTTTAGCCGCGCTGGCCTTTGTCCTGGGGACTCGCTACATCCGCCTCTCGGAGACCATGGTCACGACGTCGCGAGCGCCCTCTGTCTATAAAGGTAGGTATCCTTCCCCTGCAGACACGGCTCTCATAATATTATTAAGGAGGCTTTCTGCTCTCCAGATTTTATTTTCCGTTTTGACATTTCCAGACCTCGTACTGAATATCGAAAAATAGTTTATTAAATTGTTAATATTTTTTATTATCATAATTATAGCATTTAGCGAGTTTTCATAAATTATCCCTAGTCCGAATGCTACTCAGTGAACAAATACTACGTACCATGGATTCGGTGAAATGCAGTAGTAGAACGTTAGTCACAAAATTTTTATGCACGATCTCGAATCCTCCCATTAGACTTCGACGAATAGAAATTTTTGCATATGACCCAATAATATTTTTTTGCTTATAAATTTCAAAATGTTCTTTAGTAATAATGTTAGTGTGTAGTGTGTACTATAACGATGCTCATAAAGCATCTCAAGTAGAGTTGCTTCCAGGGAGCTGCAATCAACTGTTCAGGTTGGAAAAGGATATGCAAGGTCAAGAAGGATCTATTATTACGATTACCAGAATCAAGAAACACCAGTTCACTGTGCGGTCAGATCGCAGGCCTAATTATTAGAACGTCCCGTACGAACGAAAGAAGAACCAAAACTAAAATCAGGTTGAGAAACAGAATGGGGCAGAAAAGGTAGTCACAATATGGGGAGCCACGTAGACAACATTCATCCGCTTTATGTTAGTACTGTATACTGTAGAATAATAATTTACAATAATTATAATTGTATGCATTGTGTACAGGTGACATTAATTCGGCCTACACCGGCACCGGGATCCCGGCCGACGCCCAGTCCGTTGTGTCCAAGCGCTCGATGAACCTGCAACCGGTGCTGTACCCGCCCGGCCACGATCACGCCGATCATCCCGGCAAGATGAGCGAATTCACGGCGCGCCGCGACCGCTCCATCGGCAAACCGCAGACACCGCGGCTGCACGACCGCAACGACCATTTTCACCTGTAGATGTTCTCTATCTTGCAAGTGGCCAATATGTGTTCCTGTTTTATGTAGATACCGACAACTGTCTTTTGGCTTTGTTCAGCTTTATACAGCATTGAAATTGGATTTAAAATTAGTCGTTTTATAGTGGAAATGCAGTAAATCTACTGCAGTATATTACGCTGGGGACGTGCGTGATTGAAAAGGTCAGTCTTTGGCGTTCGCATGATTTTCATACCAGAAAAGAATGGAAAAAGTAAAAAGCCATACAAAAGGTTCAGGTTTAGAAAATTCCTGTAAGTTTCTACAGTTTCTTAATGGACGTTTGTAATAAGATGATAATAATAGCTGATTGCGTCAGTGCCGGGAGCCGGCGGGAGGTACAAAACAGGGAAACTTACTTTGGAAAACCCTTGTACTCTGTACATATAAACGATTAACAGTACTACAGTTTTTTATATGCTTTTTCCCTATTTTCTATTCCCTATTTAATTTTTTTTCATTTACAAAATTACGATTCACTAATTCTTCGTGAGATTATCGCCAACGTGGTAAATCCAATGAGGGAACCGACAGCGCGCCTGTATCTCGTTCGGTATGCTGCTAACTCATAGTTGTGGTTCATACTTATTAGATAACATCGAAGATCGTAGCAGAGGGGCTTTAATGAACCACCACATCTCATGAAGTTGACCCCGAAACACCACAGCGCAAAAATTATTGACACTGTAAAATAATAATATTATGCAATCTAGTGCATTTTTAATTTTTAAAGCATTTTCACAGTAATTTCATTTTCTAACCCGAAAGACCAGAAAAAATGTTTTTGGAATAGCTAGCATAATTGATACTACAAAGGAAATAGTGGCGACAATATATCGGCGTCGAAATTATCCCTATTTTAATATACAATAGTATAAAAAATCTTCGACTAATGCCGTGGAAATGGGCAAAAACGTATAAGCTGCGCAAAATTCACATAACTCGTTGCGCATAAACATACGCAGTGTCAACGCCTTTCTAAGTTTTAAGCGATTCAGAAAATCAATAACCAATCAAACACCTTCTAAGCAGGGCGCAATCCGAGGGAAACCGAGAAACGGCTGAAAAAGGCGCCGATGGGGGAATCGAACCCCGGCTACGTCGTTAGATCCGCGTAGGCAGTACCACTGCACCACGGCGCAATACGTTGAAATCCTTTGAAAGATTTTGTCCCTGTACGTGACCGCTTCTCGCTTCACAACCCAGTTAGGAAAGACCTCCCACGAACCAAACTAAATTTAATAAAAATCACTTTCAGCAGATTTCCAATCGGGAAGACATGATTACCACAAGATAGCGCCGAGTAATCTCGTTGTAAAAACCGGAAACTCCGCTGAAAAGTATCGCTGAGGCACACACCGTCGTTGCTCACACAATCCATCCACACACAAATCAAAGGCAGTTAAGATCAATTAAAAAAATTCATTTAAATTTATATACAATACAGCGATTTTATATTGGCAACAATATAACAAAGAATTCAATTCAACGGAATGTTGTCACGAGGAGGCGGGTTTGCGGGCGTTGCGCAGCTGGATGGCCTTGACGAGGATCCTATGTACATCGGGATTGGGATAATTCTGACAAAGGGGGAAAAACACAACAGAGTAAAGGTTGTAATAATTCAAAATAAATTTTATTTATTTTATTTTAAAATACAGAAAAACAGAGAAAAACCGGACAAGTAACTACGAAGAACGTAATGATGTTGCCAAGAAAATGCAGGCCATAAGGAAAAGCGAATTAATTTCTTTATTGAAATTTTATGCTCTTGGCCCTACTGTCATCGCTACATGTGGCAATACTATTACGAATTCTCGTAGTATCGTGGCCCATGAGAAACCATGGTCATCTAATGGCAACCGTGCAGGCCGCTGGCTAATGCATAATAAATACCAAAATGTAACAAATATAAATGCTTTTTTGTAGAAGAAACCCGAAAAATGTGTGAATTAATCAAGGACGGACAAATATCTACAGAGAAATGCTTATTAAAAACTGCACCAGTTAAGGAATGTGGCCACAGCAGAGCCACAAAAACAACAGTATTCTGTAATTACTAAATTTACGGCAGCACATTGAGGAATCACAGTGTTACTTGTTTATATTTAATGACTACTATTATTACTAATATTTAATTTCTAATATGATTAATATTGAGGAATGGTGGAATTATTGGATGCTGTTGTAGTAGTTTCATGGACGATGCGAAATCTCCATCCAACACCTGATCCCGTATTAAACTGTCAAAATCAACGAACTCAACAAGTCATGACCTTTGACCGAAAGTCTCAGAGTATGACAAATTGAAAACCCGGCCTACACGATCATGGCGCAGGAGATGTCGAGGAGGAAGTCGAAGTGCTGCCGATCGGCGAAGAGACTATCCCACAGGCGCAGCACTTCCGGCAGGGCGAATTCCCGGCTGAGGAGAAGGGTCAGCCAGCGGAAGCTGCGGTTACTCTTCATGACCGGTGTATTTGAATTTGATTGTACTGTGCAACTGCGTACTGGACTATTATTCAACGGCTGTTCCAAACGCCTTCTCCTGCCAAACCGTCATTGAAGATTCTCTGGTTGGGAGCCGATATGAAAAAAATTCCAGTGGCAAAAAAAACATTGTCTTTAGAATTTAACAAAAGAATAATTTTACCTGTGGTTGCAAAGAGAATTAATAAAATAATATGTGTAAAATTATACGTTACGTGTTGAGAAATATATTTTGCAGATTTTCGGTTGGTTGTTAAGGTGTGTGAGAACCGGCATCGCCATGATCTGCCAACGATTCTGTGATTTCGTAGTGTACGGGCTATTGGCAAGTTCTCGATCTCGTTCCAATACAATTCTGTGGATCCAAGCCTAAGGTTAATACTTGCGGTACTGAACAATATTATTGTCTGTCCTTCTATTTTTTTTGCATTTTAATGCATTTTTTGAATTTTGCATTATTTTTTCGGTGTCTATATTCTGAAAGAGTAATTTTTTGAGTGAATGTACATGCAATTTATTTGAATAAAAGAGGCACTTTTACCGGTATTATGTAGAAAATATTAAATAGTGTAGGCAATAATTCCTCCAAACCTGTGCATTTATTGGTTTGCAGCGGATTTCTCCACGATCCCCAGTCATGCCTTGCGCGCCAGCACGGTGTTCATCGGGATTTCGGCGCTGATCATCCTGATCTGTATTGTGTGCATGATCCTGTTCTTCTTTCTACATCCGGCCACTGTATATCAAATCTGCGGATGGCTGCAAGCGTTTTCCGGTAAGTCGGAACATTTGGCGCCATTGACATTGAACCAAAAATAAGACGTACAGAGTACGTACACAAATATTGAGAATTAATACTTTTTTAATACAATTTTAAATTGAATTCTACGGTAAAATGTAATTAAAATATCTCCTTGGTAGGCAGTAGCGTAGAACAGCGGCTTCTTCCATCTCGAAATTTACGCGTAAACGCGCCTCTTTGTTGACGTATCCCTCAACTGCAATGAAACGCAGTAAAATTAATAAAACTAAATCTTTTCCATTTTTCCATCACTGACATTTGCTCAGATTTTTTATTACGTTATTTATTAATAGCTGTTTACTAATTGATTTTAAAAATTTATTAATGAAGTTTATTGTTTTTTTTATAGGGCTTATCTCTTAAAAATAGTGTACACGGCATTCCGCACAGTGTCGCCTGCATCATTATGATTATTTTTGTCAAAATAGTGAAAATACACATAATCTGATTTTTATCTTCCGCGCTGTTGATGTTCCTGGGCGTGGTCATATATCCGTCGGGATGGGACCATCCGGTGGTGCGGTCGGTGTGCGGCAACGACGCGGTGAAGTACTATCCTAATTTTATTATTCTGTTTATTTTTATCGTTAACAGAATCACAATTATATGTGAAGTAATTGATTTTGTTTATTATTATTGTGCTATCTGCTGACTTCTGATCGTAAAAAAGTTCGTCTCAGCCGCTGCAATTAAGTACGGTGTCAGTTCGCATTTGGTGATATGTTGTAGTACGGTGGCTCACTATTCATAACTCTTTGCTTCTTATTACGATAGGAGAGCGATAACAATCCACGATCGCGATAGCGACTCTACAATGTAGATTTGGTAATTATGAAATTTTTTTCGCATACGAAGTTTTCATCCTTTTTTAGTAAATCAAGATGTAAAAAAAAGTAATAATAAGCATTAAAATCACTACGTTTGAAATTAGACTGAAAAAACCACACGCGTTTTTTATTTATAGTTGCAGAAGAATAATTAGATATTATACTTAAATTAATTAGAATTTTCATTAATTAGTTAATCATTTTATAAATTATAATTATATTATTATTATAATAACTTAACCGAATTAAAATATTATACCATTATAATTAACTTCAATTACTGTATTTGGTTATTAATGTGGATGTAAAATTGAATGTACCGTGTACAGGTGACATTAATTCAGCCTACACCGGCACCGGGATCCCGGTGGACGCCCACTCCGTGGTGTCGAAGCGCTCGACGAACCTGCAGCCGGTGCTGTACCCACCCGGCCACGATCACGATCATCCCGGCAAGATGAGCGAGTTCACGGCGCGCCGCGATCGCTCCATCGGCAAACCGCAGACACCGCGACTGCAACGGCCATTTTCATCTGTGGATGCCGCTTTGAGGATGTCGGGGCAAGTGCTCGAAAGCCGACGATGTCCGAACGGTCGCAACTGAACGGCGCCGCTGGTCGCCGACTTCCGTTGAGACAAGCCGCGCCGAACAGCCCTTTATTGAATCTTTGAACACAACAGAGCAACGCTAGTGGTAATAAACAGCAGATCGGAGAAGATCGGAGATTCAACAACAGGACAACTGGACAAGTGATGACACAGTATATTTTCATCTATATATCGCCAGTGGCCCATGTGTTCCTGTTTTACGTTATTCGTAGATACCGGCATTATCAGCCTCATTTTCTAAACTAGGCTCTCTTCAGCTTCACAAGGCATATTGAAGCTGGGTTGAAAATTATCCGTTTTTATAGTAGCTTACCTGGGCAGTATAACCGCGACGTACGGAAGAAGATTGATCAAAAGGTCAGTCATCATTTAGTTCGATGAAGTGTAATACAGGAGAAAAAATTAAAGATTATAAACAAATTAACGAAAAATTATGTATGGCAAACTGACAGAAACTCGAGAAAAGAAAGCGCCGCATTAATTACAGACGCACATCAGAAATAATTATCATTAAATTAAAAAAATATGACATAAATGAAATACAATATAAAAAATTCATAATTAAATAAAATTACAAAAGTAATTATGAAATAAAAATGAAGTAAAAATAATAAGAAATGAAAACATAAGAAACAAAGATATTTAACTAAGAAATAGAAGATCATTTGTTGCGGATCAACGAGCGTTTTCTATTAGAGCACAATACAATGTGGTTATTGTCACTGGTCCAGCGCCTGAGGTGCCCTTTACTTCGTTAACGCCCATGTACACACCGGAGCTGAACGTTAGTAAATTTAGAAATGCGATCTAGCAACAGGTGTGTATGAAAAACAACACCGAATGCGCATGCGTCGTAAGAAATTTATTAAACTAGATACGTACAGATAATACAGAAAAACAAAAGGGTCACTGAAAGATATTCATAATTGTATGGAATATGGAAGCAGAACAGCTGAATGCCATAAATAACTGTATTTACGACTAACGAGCTCGAGGTAGGTGATGACGAGGTACGTAACGGCTAGGTGGTACATTATGGCTTAAATTGGCTTTTTAGGTGATTTTTTTGTTTTTTCAGTCACTGTTTCATATCGTTTCTATTCACTTAAGTTATTCAGGATTTCTTTGTATAATACGAGTTGAAGAAAATGTGACAAAACGGATTGTAACTGTTAGCGTACGCATATGCCGCTGGGTTGCGCTGATACGCTAAAAGTCAGGCAAATTAACCATGGAGATCGTAGCACAGTGGCGAAAGTCTTAGGTCCGGTTCGTTAATCAGCCGTAAAATGCAATATTAGAATGATAATCTTATTACGCGGCCAGCAGTATTATTTTTTAACCGTTGTCATAATTTACTTTTCTTGCAGGAAAGACTAAAAAAAGCATAGAAAATCTTTTTTGAACAACCGCATAATTTGGCCATTTCAAAATATGAATTTTAATGTACATATTTATTGAGCAGTAACAGTGAAATCCAAGCGCCGAAATGGGTTAAAAATATTGATAATTCGAAATTAATATTATGAAATAAGATTATGAAGAGATGAGATATTTTGAATAATATTCATAATTTTATATATGTAATATTTCAGATATTCTTAAATATTTTATATTATAACGAAATACTTTGAATTACCTTCTAAATAATATACCTATGCAAGCATTACTTATCCGACTTCTATCTCACAGAATTTATTGCAGTATTATCGGGAAGAATTTTTGAGCGGTTCAGAAAATCAACAACCAATCAGACACCCGGTTAGCAAAAACCGCCCACCCACCAAATAAAATTAATAAAAAAACCACTTTCAGCAGATTTCCAATCGGGAAGCACATTACCACCACGAGAAAGCGCCGAGTAATCTCGTTGTAAAAACCGGAAACTCCACTGAAACGTATCGCTGAGGCACACACACCGTCGTTGCTCACCAATCCATCCACACACAAATCAAAAGGCGGTTAAGATCAATTAAAAAATTCATTTCAATTTATACTGGCAACAATATAACAAAAACTCAGTCCAACGGAATGTTATCACGAGGAGGCGGGTTTGCGGGCGTTGCGCAGCTGGACGGCCTTGACGAGGATCTTATGTACATCCGGATTGGGATAATTCTAAAAAAAAGAAAAACACAAGATTAAAACCATTTTAAATAAAGATTTAACCATTTAGAATAAGAATTTTAGCCATTTCAATTTAAAATACAGAAAAACCGGACAAACAAACAGGAAAAACGTAATGTTACCAAGAAAATGCAGGCCATCAGGAAATAGCGAATTAATTTCAATATTACAATTGTATACAATTTTTTGTTGGCTGCTATCATCGCTACACGTGCATGTGTTACTAATAATCAAACGAATAATCGTAGTATTGTGGCTCAGAAACCATGATAGCATTGTGCCCAGCATCCTGGCCGTTGGATAATTCATAATAAACACCAAAATTTGAAACTTTACTGTTTTTTATTAGAAGAAACCCGCAGTGTTTGAGAATTAACCAAGAATGGACTAGTTTTTACCGAAACGGAAATTAAATCAAAAACGGCACGAAATGAGAAATTCGGCAACAGCAGAGCAACAAAAACAAAAGTATTCTCTAATTACGAAATTTAAGGCAGCAAAATGAGGAATTAAAGACTTAGTATTAGTATTATTTAATTACTAAGACACTAAGGCGTCAAAAAGAAGAAGGCAAGTGCTATTTCATTCTTACTATGATTTTATGCAGCAAATTCAGAAATGTCAAGGAATAAAGCAGCCGACGTTTACAAATTATGGTTAAAGCGGAAAAATTCATCAAGTAAATTTAAAAAAACATATAATTACAGCCCAACCATGACATTTTCCAACGCAAATGATGGAATTATCGGACGCACCTGTAATAATTTCATGGAAGATGCAAAATCCCCATCCAACAGCTGATCCCGTATTAAACTGTCAAAATCAACAAACACAGGAGTCATCATGTCTCAGCGTGAGAAACGAAGCGGCCTACATGATCATGGCGCAGGAGATGTCGAGGAGGAAGTCGAAGCGCTGCCGATCGGCGAAGAGACTGTCCCACAGGCGCAGCACTTCCGGCAGGGCGAATTCCTGGCTGAGGAGGAGGGTCAGCCAGCGGAAGCTGTAGTACTGCGGTTTCAGGTCCAATTCCTCCAACCACGCCCACAGAACGCGGTCCGTCTGCTTTAACAGCTCCATCAAACGGTTCATGGAGCTCACTGCATACACACACAGAAAAAAGCGAATAAGTAGTCAAGAAAATAATTTGTTTAATAAAAACCGGAAGAATAAAAGAATGAGCCAAAAAAAATCTTTATGATGAGCCGCTGAAAACTGTTCTCTAATATTAGAACATCAATATCAGATTAAATGGCGCCCAGGGTAAGGGACAAACATCCACTGCACTACGTTTAACACAAATGTTAACTCGCTGCATTTTACACACACTGATTGCAACGTTAAACTAAAATCACGCATTACCTTCCAGATTAATAAAAAATCATACCCAAATTAATAAAATAAAGTTAATTAGGAAACAAGAGGCCTACTTATTTAATTCCATAATCCAGCCAAATTCCAAACTCCACAATCAAGCGCAAATTTATTTCGTTACTTTCTTACCGATTCCGCTGGCTGATTCGTCCAGGTGCTTAATAAATCGATCCCGAATTTCGCCCATTAAATTCGTAAAACAGAAAAATGTATCAGCTTCCGCGTGCTCTGAAAAACGAAAATTAATTCTTCATTAAACGGTAAACAACTCAAACAAAATGATACTCAAACTAAATGATACTCAAACTCAAACATCTTAATTACAACTTTCCTGAAAATTCTGCTAACCAATACAACAACATAAAATAAAAGCAAAACAGTTAACTCAAGAATTTCTAAAAACAAATCTAACATCAGGTGAAAAACTTTATAAAGGTGAAACATCAGCTGAAAAACTTTGACAACTGATTAACTATTATTCAAGTAACCGGAAGAATTACGCCTTTTCTTTCAGAAGGCACAGATTTTGCACAATTTCCACTACACTACAATTTCCACGATGTCTTCACCGCCCAATATCGATGAAAAACAGAATATTGCTAATATGAAATAAAAATTCGGAACCGTTGGCGAAGCGGATAAATTTAACGAGATTTACTTGCTATAATTACGTATTCGTTTACTCATATTATGTACACAACAATGTAATGGTGCAGTATACTCAATAAAGCGTCACCCAATAAAAATTTAAAAGAAATAAAAAATTTGAAGGTAAACCAACAAATATTACAAATTTTCGGAAAACGATGTGAAAAAAAATGTTACCGAATAATAATTATGAAAATGTAAAAAATATTCATAAAATGTAACAAAATCTCTAACCTCGGAAGGCGGCATCCTTATCCGTGGAAAAGGTGTAATAAATGGGCCCGATAATCTCGTTCATGCCCTGCACGTAGCTCTGGCCGGGATTGAGTTTGGCGTAGATGAAGAGCATGCGCTCCACCACCTCCCAGTGGGCCTCCTCGTTCTCCGACAGATTCTCGTACTCGGTCCGCTTCCGGCCGCCGCTGCTCATATTCCACCCGCCCGACCGGTTCTTCACCACCGCCGACCACTTGAGCACGCAGTGATCGATGCGCTTGCGCAGGTATTCCGCGGCGGCGTGCGTCTTGTGCGCCATGAGGAAGGGGTAGTCGGTGGGGCGTTGGAAGAAGCACATGTCGGGATATAATCGCCTGCACATCCATCTTTATATTTATTGTTTTCCGCTTAAATTTTTATTTATTTTTTAAAATTTTTATTTTGGACTGTTCCACATTTTTTAAGACATTTTCCGTTTTTTTTTAACACCGCTACTAATTTTCAATTTTCTCTAATGAAAGCCGAATTTCCGTCCCTCATGGCGAAAGCATAGTCATGGCACTTGCATCAGAAATGCATAAAAACAGAAAACATGAAAACCTACTGTACAAGAAAGAAACTTTTGACTTAAAATACAGGAACGCTTTTCTAAAAATTTAAATTTATTACTTCTGTTTTTGATTATTAATTTTTTTATTTTTAAATTTTTGTTTTGTACTGTTCTATGTATGTTACATTTTTTCTGCCTTTTTTAACCACGCTACTAATTTATATTTTTCTCTGACGGAAAGCCTATTTCCGCCGCTCGTTGCGAAACTACAGTCATCGCACTTGCATCAGAAATGTATCAAAAAAGAAAACAGGAAAAACGTACTAGACAAAAAAGAAAAAATTACTTAAATTACAGGAACGCTTTTATTGTAGCAACTGATCAGCTGTATTACCGTTCCAAATTGTATTCTACAAAGGAAGAATCTGGATTTCAAGTTCCACTACACTACAATTTTCCCCATTTCTGCACGCATTCAGGCACATTTCACATAGATCGCTCGTCGCAGTGGCAACTTCTAACTCATGATAACACTTAAGGCGCAGAAAAAACGAAGTTTTAATATTATTCAAATAATTTAACAAATATTTCAGTTTTACGAAATTTTAGATTTTTTATTGTGGAATATTAAACGCTGCATACCTGGCGTCTTTGTCGATCTGCATGAGCACTTCATTATCCTTGAAATACGCGCTCCAATTACTCTGCGGATTGGGATTCAGCGGCTGTAAAAATCTCCAATAAATCACAAAATTTTCCTGATAATTTTCCGCGTTTTTTACATGATCATCACACGTGATATCCTGCCGTCCATCACTGGGAATCTCGTGCTCGCCCGGATAAATAATCATCTCCTGCACCCACTGCATGTACAGCTTCCTGCAGTCCGAAAGCAACAGGTTGACATTTTTTGTTCAACTTTTTCCCGGATTCTCTTACCTTTGACGATTTAACGTCGATTCCCAATCCGCACGCTTCGGTGGGAGGTAATTTAGCATCACCTGAATGAAGAAAAAACAGCTGATCCATCAGAAAAATGTATTCATAATTAAACACCGCGCACGGCTGCTGGATCTCTGTACGCCGTTACACAATTCTGTTCAGTCAGTACAGGGAAATATCAACTTACTTTCCAGCATTTTGGGCGCAGGCCAGATTCGTCGGGAACGCCTTCAAAAAATCGGTTTCCGTATAGAATCCAACATGAAATCGGTAATTTAAACGTGGAAAATGCAAGTTTAATCAACCTTGAAAACAAGCTGCACGCAGTTCATCCATGTTGATGCGCTCGTCGGCCAAGATGCGCTCCAGATCCTCCGTTCTGGAACGGTGCGCCATTGCAGTCCGCGCTAATTTACGAGATAAATCATAACAGTGACACTATCATAACCGAAAAATAAAATCCCCGCAGCAATCACAAGTTCTTAATCATAACCCTGTAACCTTTTTCCACATAATTTAGGGAAAATCTAATTAAATGCCATATCAAATTAGGAAAACAACTGCAGAATCAACGAAAACAAATCCAAAGTGAAAAAAATCAAAACAAATAATTCGGAAATTCGAATTTTGGACGTCTGAGCTGTAATGGCGCAACGTCTGCAGTTCCCTGTATAATTTGTGTAGGTTGGTCTGTACAGAGCCGCTGTACACGTGCGCACAGTTTTCTTCTGCTGGCCGTTTACGTGGTAATGTATTGCGTTTTTTCCGTGCATATTTTATTTTTTCTCATAAATTAAGTAACAATGAAAGTAATGGAAAAATAAAAAAAGAATCAAGAATTCAAACAGCGCAAATATTCGTTTAACAGCACCAACTCGGCTCGATGGACAAAAGCAATAAACAGTGAGCGCTGCGTATCTGCATCCACATTTCCGGCGCTCTTTTGTCTGGACAACAATTCTTGAATGTGTTCAATATTTTTTCTTTCTTCCGGCAATGTTCGTGGATATTCGTTCAGTTTTTTCTGTATCACTCTGAATAAAAAAACACATAAATGAAACTAGTAAGTACATGAAAAACATGTTTAAAAAAAATAAGTGCAACAATAATTATTTTCTAATTGACAAAAACGAAATTCTATTTGTCAAAACCATAAATTTTAAAACACCGAAAAAAGCCACTTATACACAGGAATATTTTCTCGATTTGATTTCAACAAAATACATAGTTTAAACATAACAAAATTCAAATAATATTATCATCTGAAACATGCAAATTTATCATTTTTATAATAATGCTTGCTTATGGAAAAATCTTCTTTAAAAATTTATCAAAAAACCATACAATTAATTTTGAACAGAAACCGCACAGGCAACGACCGAACCGAAAATGGAAAAGCTCTAAATTACCTAGCAAAAATATCCTTCGCTACGGGATCCAGTTTCGAGAGATTTTCTGCAAGACAATTCAAGTGAAAATTAAAGTAAATAATAACAAATTAAATTTGCACGCCGATAAAATCACCTAAACGGTACTGCTCCCGGCTGAAATCCGCTTCCTCTTCTTCATCCTCACCGGCCGCGTCCATGTCGGCAAATGCCTGCGCGTCGGCGGTCAGCACCTCCATAATGCGGCTCACTTCCATATCCGTGAGAATTTCTTTCTTCCCTATGACGATCGGATATTTCTCACCAACTAGTTCCTAAAAAAGCAAAATTTAATTACAGCTGTCGAAGGAATATTTACTGCATCAAATTTTACACAAACAGGACATATTTCCACAAAAAGACCAAACTTGCGCGAACTGAAAAATAAAAAGAAAAAATAAACCAAACGAAATCTAAGCGAAAAGTGTAGCAATGTTTGTATAGAGCTTATAACTTTTCAGGAGCGCTTTCTTGTTATGTTGAACATTCTGCCATCGCACTACGTTAATTCACACTGATTCGTTCTTTTCTGCATATCCGATAAAAATGTGAAACAATCAGAAAATGAAAGCATCTGCAGAAAATCGGTTATACAGGCTGTATCTCTGTAAAACTTGTAGAAGTCATTCCAATTTGCTTTCGCATTTGCCATTGTACTACGTAATTTCTACAGCAGTAGAGGCTACATTGCTGCATGCCGGATATCAATACAACTCGTATCGCTAGCAGAAATTCACGCAATATGTATGCCGGTTACTTGTAAAAGGAAACAAAAACACACCAAGCTGATTTCGCTATGAGGAAAAAAAGACCATAATTTATTACTTTTCCTTGTTGCTGACCTTTTTCTCCAAATAACTCCAGCGTTTATCCAGTTGGGCCGGCGACAGCGGAAGCCGCGGCGGATTCTGCTGCAGTAAATCGGTGAGGGTGTCGCGCAGCAAGGACGACGGGATAAAGACCTCTTCAAAGGGATTCTCCTCGTCATCCTCCGCGTACCCGTAGAGATACAATAATTCCGATGAAGAAATCTCCCCGTATGTGTTGAATATCTCCTCACCCTGGAAATTCAACCAGTTTCTCAATTATCACAATTAATTGCAAATAAATTCAACTTAGTCTTCTTTTACTGGATTTGAATGATATTATGAAGCATGAAAAATGGGAATAATTACAGCAGTATTTTACTACCACAAATGTGAGTTCAAATACAACCTCATATTTTCCGTATGAATGCAGATTTAACGAAACATTGTATTATGATTCACGGATAACAAAAAACTATGCGGCATAATTACTCTGGATTTTGTTAAAATTAATTTTAATTCGAATAATTCATCAAATTTAAATCAAACTGACGGTATTCATTGTATTTTATACTCATAAGTCTGAATTTAAATAAAAATTAAAATACATTATGCGGCATAAATGCGCTTTTTTTGCTGACAATTAATTTTAATTCAATCTTAATTCATCAAATTTAAATGACGGTTTCCATTTTACTACTCATAAGTCTGAGTTAAATAACACTTTTCATTGTCAGAATTAAACTATTTAAATCAAACTGAACTTATTTTTTGGAATAGATTTATGGTTGTGACCAAAATAGTGTGGAACTTTCGTAGAGCAGTGGCAAACCGGGTTTCCATAAAAAAAGCTGTGTTCAAGAATCATGTGCAAGAATTAGAGAAACATAGATGCACACCTTATAATGCGTTAATTTTCCATTTTTAAAATTAATAACTTTTCCATGCACAGAAAGTGATTTATCCTGTATAAGTACAGACTGTACACTGGATTTTATTGTTGCCTTTTATTAAACTACTTTTTCCGCACGTACCGCTTTGATATTTTTGACCGCCAGCATTTTCAGCACCTCCCCATCATCGTCCCAGTGGAGTCTGGCGTTATTGCGGCGGACACTGGCGTTGAGGAAGTCGGCGATGGGCACCATAATCGGCACTTCCATCAGCGCATTGCCCACTTGGCTGGCTTCGCGGTCCTCGTCCTCCGAATCGGAATTCTCCTTATCCACCGTGCTGGCACTGTCCTCACTGTCCGGCCGCGTGAAACTGTACGCCATGATAAAACCGGAGATCTTCACCACCGTCTCGCGGAGGCTTTCCAATTCGCTGTTATCCACGAAAGAAATTAAAATTATTACCAGAAAATAAATATCAAATAAACAATTATTTATTAATCATGTTTATCCAAGATGCTTTTTATTTTTTTCGAATCTTTAAATTTTTTTAGGTCAATTATTTTTATTCTTATTATCTAATTTTTTTTAAATTGCTACTAAATTATCTTTATTATTTATTAATCATGTTGATTACTGAGCTTTTGCTTTTGCCCGAATATTCGAAATTTTTTTATTATTTATTATTATTGCTTATTCAACTTATAAAAATGCCGTCCACACGAAAACAATAAGCAGGTCTGCAGTTTGTACTTTTCTTGAAAGCGATGCAGTTTGCGTAAAAGCGGCACAATGTGCTTGTCCACATCCGTCTCCATTCGTTGACGATCCCCAGTGATACGCTGCGGCACCGTCGACGTTCCCAGCAAGCGCTGCTGTGTCGCTCTGCGATAAACATCAAATAAATGGACAAAAACCCAATTTTCATAAACCGAAAAAATATTCCTCCAAACTGAATTGCATGCAACATTCAACGCTAATCAGACAACGGACAGAATCATGCAAATGCCAGTTTTTCGCCTTTACCACGGCACGTGTCGCATGTTTTGCAGACAACCACAAATACGCACCGCATCGTACTGATCGTGGAATGTAATTAAAGAAAAAGGAAACATTTTCAACATAAAACATCTATTAACTAGCACCTATTAAACGCCAAATATACGCCTTGGAATTATTCAACGATGAGAATGAGATCGTCATTCTGCCAGTGCACTACGATAACACGACACTCTACACTGGGTTCAGGGCGACTAACAACAAACGTCTTGCGTTTATTTTACAATTACCAAAAGTCCAACACCCGGGAAAAGATTGTGAAATTCCGCAGACCATGCAAAAAATTGAATTCATTTTAAATTCATCCATTTGACGAGGTTCCTTACGGCGCACTGGATACGCTGTGCCGTGTGGCAAAATAAATTTCCTTAATTATTACGCAATAAATCACGGGACAGTAACACATACCTATCCCAGAACAGTGGCACATCCAGATTGGACTGATGGAAGAACATGCGCAGATAGGGATACCAGAGCGATTCGCGCGGTGCTTTTGTCGCCTCCAGCAGGATGGCCACGATTGTCGGTGCCCAGCGACTTTCCAGCGCCATCTTCTCCATTTCTACAACACAAAGCACAACTCCAGTACAAAACTTCTACCGACCACATGCCAAACGTGCACAATTTATTAGCAAATTGAAATAACCGAAAACACCATTCTGGACAGTCCAGTCATGAATATTATCGATTTTCGAAAAACAAATCTGACCGATGAACTGCAAAAAGTACAATCGGCAAAGCGAAGTTAAAAGCAACATCAACAACACGAAAGATAAATCATAAATCAAAAAAAAAGCACGATAACCCGTAAAAAAATCGAATTTTACTTCCACATGTCCACTGCAAAAAAATGATGAATCGTTCATGAAAAATAAGAAATTATAATTTACTAGTGGACCCCGCGCAAATTGCGCGAAGTGAATTAGTGACTGATAACTGCACGAACTATGGAGACCTACTCGTACAATACTGTACTTATTTTCGTTATTATAAATGGCACGATAGTAAAAATTACGTACTTATCAGCAGTCGTGATAATGAACAGCCAGCCAAACAACCAAAAATACTTGCGCGATTGCACCGTTTAAAACATTTGAAAACTAATTAATAATTTGACCACTCCGTTCACCACTTCTCATTGCCTTTCAATCGTACTCTTTCTGTACACAAAAAAGTTTGAAACTTTCGAATTCGGTACTCGTACTACTTTTCCTTCCGTTCATTGCGGTACTGGCTGCCCAACGGTCCAAGACAAAATTCCCTTCGCCTGATATTTGCATTTGCTTTAACCACACCTTCTTGTTTAAAATATTTCTGTACTTTACATTCACTTGCATTTTTTAAGATATTTCGAAAGTATATGTTTCGTAAATGTCCGAAATATGCTGCTAGATACTTTAAACAGTCGGACAAAATACCATTATGTTGTTGCGCAGTGAATTTCTGGACGTAGAATTGGGAATAATTTCCGAAATTCAGAGGAATTTATTGCTGGAATTTATAAAAATAATAATTTCTGGAACTCAGATATGTTTACAATAACGCGTACGTCTCTTAAACACAGCAAAATTATTGTGCAGAAAATACACTTCAAAGTGTTTGCCCACGTCGGACCATGATGGACGGTGAATGGCGAAAACCGAAAAGGTAGTTTACCATAGTAAATAGCGCGCAATGTAGCGCACGGGGTGAACGTAGTGAGACCAACCGAAAGGTTTTAAAATTTGTGAACGAAGTGGTCGCAAACTTTTGGCTTTCGGTTTTCACGTCTACTTGTGGTTTGAAAGTGCAATTCCGAAAACACTAAAAGCAAATCTAATTTTCGACTTTCGCCAATTGTGGAATTGCTGTGTATTGTTAGTTCGTGTGAATTCGGAATTTGGCTATTACTGTGCCACGGAAACCGCTTGTGTCGTGTCGACCGGTGTCACCTGCCTGAGTGCCTGTGAAACTATCAAATTTGGTAACATGGGGTTTGAAACCCGAACGGCGGCAAAGCTCGCAAGAAGTTTCCACGTTTACAAAACTGAACATAACAAACACAAAATTTTCCGGTTTTTTCAGTTTTTGCTTGTAGCAATTTCCACAGATATTGCGAAACTTCGCAGCCCAGCAGCAGCAACTGCACAAATTTCATAACTGGAATAGCAGTCAGATTACTATGTGTAGTTTTTTACAGTACGTTTTAAATAATCTGTAGAAATCACAACTGGACAAACTTTAAAGTTTAAAGGTGTGCCTTTTACCTTCAACAATTTAAACGCAATTTAAACGAACTCGACTACGTACAAACCGGATAAGGTGTTGCAAGCTGCAGCCGTAAGTAAGTACTTCTTCGCAGTTACGGTAATTAAAATCAGTAGAGCTCCACAACCTGCGCAAGGTGGCAGCTACATATTTACTTAGCTGCGCTCTGTTAACTGGTTTTTGACGCCCCGTAGACTTTCCATGTTAGAGTTTTGAATTTTTTCTCAAAACTGTTTACGTTTTTCTGGAATCTGATAACTTTGTACAAATCTACACATTCAAGGCCATCGAACGGTACATAGACATTCAAGTTTGGTTGAACGTGTCTATGACTTAGACCCTGACACACACAGATTTCGTGCACCTTCTTATTCTTTTATATAGATAGATAGATAGAAGATAGATGTAAAATAAAATTTCTTTTCCCCCAAAAAAATGACAATATTTGAATTAAAAAAATATACCGTATCGATTTTAGCCTTGAAAAAATTCTTTTGGTTAATGAAAACCAAAAACTGCCATTTTTTGGGTAAATAAAAAATTCTATAATAAATTAAGGTGAAGGAAAATAAATGCAAAAATATGCGAAAACGCAAAACAAATAAACAATGGCAAATGCTATTAAATAAAAGAAAAATATTTACAGAACAATTTCTCGACCCGCACAGAACCGGCGCACATACTGAAACTTATACTGATATCCGCGCATACCTGGTCGCACGCTGAGGAGCGCCGGGATGTTCTCCCACTGCAGGGTCTTGGCGCGGGGAACCCTGAAGAGCTCCTCACCATCCGCGATGTCCTCCGCGGCGCTCATGCCGTACCGCGCACACGACCCCACCCGGCCCATGTACACCTGCGAAACACCATCTTCACACTGCCCTGTTTCATGCCAGAAACAGTTGCACGCACTTTGGGATTGATGGAACACGGAGCGGGCTCGCTGAGACACCAGGCGACGAACTCGCGCAGCTCCGCATCAGCGCTGTCGATATGGACACCGCACACGGTCGCCGCGATGCCGTTGCCTTCTGACGCGTCGTGGTGCGTCTGAGAAAATCACAATAATTGTAAAACTTACAGAAATTGACCAGTGAAATGCTAAATTATGCCTCTGTGGTAGAATTCGTGGGAAAAGTTGAGAAATTCAAAAAAACTTCACCTTGAAACGCTTCGCAGCACTTTCGCAGCCATTCTGTGACGAATCGCCGGAATCGGCATCCATTGCAAATATTTGGCACACGCCAAAAAGATCTCAGAATTCACACAGCAAAAAATATTCGCAAAACGCTATACATGCAAGAGAAATATAAAATAAAACGAACAACGAATAAATTTGCAAAAATCAACATCCAAAAAGCGGAAAATGAACAACACAGAAAGTCAGAAACCAGACAAGCGAGGCATAGCGAGCCGAGGTTTAAATGCAGTGGACCGCCCACCTGCGATAACCACAGCGCACTCATAAAATGAAATCACAGTATGCTGTAAAAATGAATTCTGCACAATCTTCTTATTTAGCGGCAACGCAAAAATAAGTTTCACTTCAATTGTAAGATAAAAAACCTTTTTATAAAAATTTACAATAGCCGTTTCGATGATGAAAGCTATTTTAAAAAAAATTTATAAAGGATTCGCAATGGGGCAACGAGCAATTTATACGTACAAATCGATTGTTGCTGATGTGAAAAAATCCCTAATTATGTGTTTCCAGGGCGGTTGCAGTTGCGTTTGGCTACATTCTGTACGAGTCGTCGGAAGTCTTGCACAGTCCATACTCCCCGCGGTGTTTCCGCCTTGGAACGCCTTGCGGCCTTGCCAAATGGGTTTCCGTTAAATTTCTGAATGAAAAGACATGCCCGTTGATCGGTGCGATACGTTCGAATACTTAACGAGCGCGGGGTGACGCGGCGTCGCCACAACATTTACTCACAGATCAAACCGCATCGATTTCCGTCTAACACACGGATACGTACGTCGCGCTGTCTTCCCACGCCCCGTGAAGCCGCCCGTGAGCGGCCAGCATGATTCATACAGCATACAGCGCAGACAGACTGCGGCTACCTATGATTCATTGCGCCACTCGCGCTCTTTTCTCAATTGTACCGCGAATCTGTCCAACATATACAACAGACCAGAGAGACAGACTTTCACTTTCATTCATGCCATCCACTTTTCTCCCTGAAAATTTCCATTTAAAACAGCCGGTCCGCACTGCCTTGGCGGGATGATATTGACGGATTAAACTTGTCAGGATCTTTGTAATTTCTTGAAGAGTTTGCAGTTTACTGGGGTTGATCTAGTGGATTACACAGTGTGATCGGGGCGCTTAAAATGGGTACATGAAGTATTGATCTGGTCCGTTTGTGCTGTGCCACACTGCGGACGGAGGGGCTGATATTTGCCCCGCGGAATTCTTGTGATTTGCGGAATTTTGTGATGGACACGGGGGATCATGCTAAGCCCCATCTACCGCACAGTGTTCCTGGGAGTACCTCCAGACTGGAACTGGATTTTTCTGATCCAGGTGATTATTTAATCCCGGCGCGCCTGCACGTTTCCCCGTTTTCGTCTTGCTTTAAATTCTAGCGTACAGATTCCTTATCGCATGCGCGTGTTGTTCATAATGTTTAATGTTATTTCGTGCGCTTTGGGTCAATTCTCTGTCTGCGTCGATGCATTTTGTGCTGGTTGAAGCAAAGAGTCGCGGGGTTGCGTTGCATTTGTTGGAATTGAATTTTGTTTTGTTGTCGTTTTTTTTCGTGGTTCGTAATGGAATTATATGGGAATTCTGCAGGAAATCTGGGCGAGCGGAAGAGTAAATTGCGTTTATCATTCGGCAAGAGCAGCGCCGTGCCAGAACGCCTGGAAACATCATCCGCGATGAAGACCTCGATCTCCCTTCCACTGCAGATGCAGTCGCTGGAGGATATTGGTTTCAGCACGCAAATGTGAGTTTTGGTTGATTTTCTCTGCTTAATTAGATGCTTTCGATGCTCGTACAGGCGCTGTGTTTTCACTGGTTTTTTTAGCAAAATGTTTGAACTTTTAACATGTTTATTCAATATGTCGGCAGTTAGTTGACTGCATAATTATGTCAGTATCTGTTTGCAGAGATCGCTTGCAGTCGCGAAGTTTGCAGACGACTGGGAAGCTGCAGATATCGCCCGACATGGTACGTCATCAAAATAATTTAAAAAATCTTCAGTTGTAATTTTTATAAGAAAATTAATTTTTTTTGGTAGACGGGTATTATCAATTGATATTATTTTTTTATTTTGTCAGATTTTTAGCTTTTCTTGAACAGCTGCTGGTAATAATTGTTGTTAAGGAAAAAGTTTTTGTAACTACTTTTTAATTTTATAATTACATATGTTTTTATATCTGCTAGTTTCTTTTTATTCGCGCAGGTGTATGAATTTACCGCGGAAGATTTGATGGACTTGGGCGAGATTGGTCGAGGTAAGACACCGATTCCAGATTACGCATAATTAATTTTTAATTCTCCTCTGCAAAAGTAATAATAATATTTATACTTGCTGTCATAAATTACAAACACTGTGCTCGTATTTGCAACTCGCCTCTTTGGCTTTTGAAAACTGAAAAGTACATTTGGTTGTTTTTGAATTTTCTTTTAAAGCTTAAGTAATTTTTAAAATATTGTGTACTCTGAGATTTTCCCTGTAAAAATTATTTGTTAAAAATGGATGTGCATTTTTCTTCCACAAAAAAATTACTTTTCGAATTTATTTTATATTTATTTTTTTAATTTGCGCAAAACTTTCTATACAGAATTTGTTTTTTTATTTTATAAAAAATAATTAAAAATTTTTTCTTCATTTTAGGCTGTTTTTCGGCTTCTACTCGTATATTACTGATTTACTGCGTGTGAATTGCTAGATAAATTTGCCTATTATTTTTTAATCTTTATTAGTACATTAGCGCTAATTGCGAGGAAAATCTTAGAAAATACTTAAATTAATCACCGGCTAATTTGTCCATCGTTTGCGCTTTTAGCGCTGCGTTGAAGTGACACGCGTTGATTGTTTGATTAGGCAATTACGGGTCGGTGAATAAGATGATGCACAAGACGAGCGGGACGGTGATGGCGGTGAAGGTGAGCGTAATATTGATTGACGGAATGTTGTTGGGTGGTAATATGAGTCATAAATACGAGTATAATGCGGATCATTCGATGCAATTGATGAGCGCACTATTGACACCGCGTGTGCCCTAACCCGCGGCGTGTTATCCTTAATAGAGGATCCTCTCCAACGTCGACGAGCGGGAACAGAAGGAGCTCATTGAGCTGGCCGTGGTGATGCGCAGCACCAACTGCGTCAATATCATCCAGTTCTTCGGGGCCATTTTCAAAGATGTAAGTCGGCTACCGAAACTCATCAGATTTTCGTACATCGTTTCTCTGGTTCGTTTACAATTATGCATGGGATGTTTTGGTATTTCTAGCAATAAATCCTTTATTGGTACTTTAACTCACATACAATTACAGATAGTTTCTGCTTTTCTAGTTTTATTTTTTTTGATACTTTCTATATATTCTATTTCTTGTAATTACGAATGTTGAACTGCAGAATAAAAAAGTAGAAATTATACTATCGTATGTAGGCAGGCAGAGTTGCCAGACTGCTTTTTTCGGGTTTTTATTAATGTATCTCTAAATTATTGCGGTTCACCGCTGTACAGCAGCCGCCATCAGGCCCTTGCACTACGATCGCATCAACTGGAATTGCTTCATTTGCTTTACCTGCAGCTGCATACATATCTGTACAGCTCGTACATTAGTTCTTGCCTATTAAAAGGTGACATTTTAATGTTTGCGGTAGTCCTTTAACCGACCAAAGCTGTTGTTTAATTTAATTCTTTTTTATATCCTGAAATTGTGACGGTTACGTATAAAAGCTTCTACAGAATACGCTTTCATATGTAAGAATTAAAAATGATTTAATGTAATTGTAATTTTGAAATTGTTTTAAATACTTAATATTTTAGTCAGTTCCTAGACAGGGATAAAAATCGGCAATTACTGCGACCTTTCCTAATTTAGTGTTCATGTTCGAGAAGAAACCGTTCGGCACGTAAAATCTAACTAACACACTAATGAAAAATTTTCGGTTTGTCTAATAAAAATTAATGAAAAAAATTAAAAAATCCAAATAAAAATAAATTAAACTAACAATTTTAACAAGCATCTCAACAGTATTTAAAAAAAAACTGTACAGTCACTGAAAACGCTTAGAATCTGTGGAGAAAAGTAAATCAGAATCAATTAATATCTGAAATAAATGGAAAAACTCTGTGTGTGAGTAAAATCTGTCTTTGCAAAAGTGATAAGAAACATAGTGAATGGATTGTCTTTTGTCAAAAATAGGGTGATTGTTGGATATGTATGGAACTGATGGATACATCCCTGGATAAATTCTATAAATTCATCTATGAAATCCTCCAGAGTGAAATTCCCGAGGAGATCCTGGGAAAAATCGCCGTGGCGGTACGTTGCACAATTTTAGCATTTGCGTAGCGATGCCATTAAGGTATTGATCGCTGCTGGCGATGATTCAAGGCTGACCTCAAGTTGGCCGTGTAGCGGCAGGTGCGGGACCGAAATAGAAATCCCTGTAGAAAAAATAGCTATTTTTATCCCGGGATTATTACGAGGTGGCTATTTTCGGTGAGGGATTATTGAATTAAGCGGCTGAATTTAGCACGCCGCCGGGATAAATTTAGACCGGGTCTGGCTGACGTAAATGGCCTTTTTGTCGGGCTGGTGATGTTTTCGCAAATGCCAGGAAGTGGTTATTGGTGATTGTTCCAATGAAAGCCCCGACTGTGCAAGAATATCGACCGATTTATTTCTGTCGTACTCGTTAATACAAATTTTATCACCGAATACGACAGGAATATATTAAAAACGATAATTTTGTTATAAAACAATAACGATATCGTAAAATTATCGTTATTGTCTGAGTGCGAACGCCTACCAGAAAATCAGCAGAAATTAAAGAAAATGGTTACGGAAAAATGGGTAGAAATTAATTACTTAAAATAAAGCGCTGCCATTTGATAAACTAAATGAATCTTGGCTGGTGTGAAGTCAGGTGAATTAGTTCCTTATTAAAATAACGCAACGCAAGCCGGATTTATTTTAACGTATTGCCAGGAAAAAATCGGGTTTGTTTTCTTGATATAACGAATAAATTTATACTACTGATTTATACAATTCTCGTAGGCTCGTATGAATGAGTAATGTGAATTTATTCCGCACATAAAAAACCCTGTTTTTCCTGGTAGTACAGACATGTTGAGATAAATTAATGCGTTGAGTTTTTTGTGATGTGCTAGTTATCCTGAACATGAATACTTCGTACGAGTAATACGGCAGAATATTATATTAGTGATGTCTGACAGTTTTGCTGTAATCATCAGTATAATGTAAATATACCGGTACTGCATTTTGACTAATAATGATGATAATTTTTGGGCAATAAATGGTGTGGTAATGCTCGAAAATAAATTTTCCAAGAAATAAATAGAGGAAAAAATTTTAGTCAGAGCATTGAGTGTTTTCGTGGGTAAGCACTTAACTTTGAATAGCAGTGCTCAGACAGTGCTACCTCCTGTGAGCCACTACACTACGATATTTCATCCGATCACTATGGTTAGTTGTTTCTACCGTACTCAAGTCCGAGTTTGACAAATTTCTTGTTTTTTACTGCAGACGTTGAATGCGCTGGATTATTTGAAATCCTCGTTAAATATCATACACCGTGGTGAGTCCGTCGATGGCATTCTAAAGTACGGGAAAATACGAGAAAAATACGTAATTAAAAAATATGTTTTGTTGTGGGCAGATGTGAAGCCGTCTAACATTCTGCTGGATCGGCGTGGCAATATGAAACTGTGTGATTTCGGTATTAGTGGCCGTTTGGTGGACTCCATCGCCCGGACCAATGTCGGATGCCGACCGTACATGGCGGTAAGCAGTTTTTTTTTACAGAAAACTTCCTCTAATTCCAACTTTAAATTAAAACGATGCTATTATTACCAGTAAATTTTTCGTTGAAATATTATTGTAATTGTTCAATAATTTACATTGGAAAAAAATGGGAATAAATTGACATGATTTTCTCCTGCAGCCGGAACGTATTGATCCGACCAAAGCGCAGCAGTACGATATTCGTTCGGATGTCTGGAGTCTGGGCATCACACTGGTGAGTTTGTATATCTTAATTCTATCCAGTTAAACTGTACTAAATAGCCTTGACGGAAATGCAGTTTTATTCGGTAGGAAAGGCATCAATAAAATTAACGAACTAATAATAATTACATTGATCGTTAATATTTTGTTTTAAATATAAAATTAATGCGCGGGGAAAAAATATAAATTAACAGAATAATATTATTCGTTTCTAGCTATTTTAGTTAGAATATTGAATATTCTATTCATCTGTAAAATTAATATGCGCGTAAAAAATCTTAAATTAACAGAATATTGTTGTTCGTTAATACTTATTTTATTTGGAATAGTTTATAAATTAATATGCGGTAAAAATAAAACTAACAAAATATTGTTCGTTAATATTTTATGTTTTAAGATCTTTTATCGTATTAATAAAAATTATAATCCAGATAAAGCATGCCTCCGCTTATCTATATTGGCACAAGAAGTGGTCGAAGTGTTTCTGAGTGATTAATAAGTATTCGCTGATGTTTTGCAGATGGAGCTGGCGTTGGGTCAATTCCCCTATCCTATTCAGGAATGGGACAACGTCTTCAAGCAGCTGGCCCAGGTCGTTGAGGGCGAACCGCCCCGGCTAGACCGCATGCGGCATCCGCGCTTTTCCGATGAATTCATCGATTTCGTCAATATTTGGTGGGTAATCCTGGTCATATAGCATGCAGTAAAATGTTCGTTAATATTACAAAAAATCGGGAAAAATATTCAAGCGTTGTGTGGAATTGCTGTTTTCTTGGTTTTATTTCGTACCAAACCACCTTAAATTTAATATTTAATTAATGTTTTCTTTGCAGTTTGGCCAAAGATGTACCAAAGAGACCCAAATATAAACTCCTCCTGGTAAGCTGATTAACCAGAATTATGTGTGAAAAATGTGCTTTTCCCAGTATACAAAATTATTAAAATAGGTAGATGTTTTTTAGATGAATTTTTGTAAAAACCGTTTTTTTACAAACTTTTAAAATACGATCTCAGTACTTTGATTTAAATTTCAGTAATTTTTATAAATTTCTCCATTTAAATTTTTTTATAATTTGTAATTTCTTCAGGAGTAATGATATTTCGAAATAAGACTGAATTAATTTAGTAGTTATAAATTTTTAATTAAACGTAAAAAATTTTAAGCACCTACTTACTTATTAATTATTATTCTTTTATTTAATTTACTGTTTTTTATTCTTGAAAAATCCTTTCTGCTTTATTTTGTGCGGCTGAAACAGCTCCGCAGATCGATTGTTATTGAGAAAAAAAATTCTAAAAGACATTTTAAATAATTTTGATTTAAATTGTAGTAATTTTTATGCATTTTTCTTTTCGCAGAGTCATGCGTTTATTCGTAAAGCCGCCGCCGCTCCGACGGACACCCGCGCCTTCGTGGAGGCCGTTCTCCTGAAGATGGAATGCGCCAATCTCCCGGGTTTATCCATATCCTGATTATGGGAAAAAATGGCGTGCGGTGTGCACCGGTGACGGGACGCGTTGCTCGGCCAACGCCCAAACTCGATGCTGTTCTTTCTGTATATAATAAATATAAAATTTGATTATATACTCCACAGGATTATATTTATTTTTGATTTTTTGTTGATAACCTTTTACTAAATTTTTATTTGGGATTTTTGTTTGTGTGTGGACTTGGTCGTCACGCTGTGCCTGGTGTGATGGCCAGCGCCCCTTCAGTCAGTTTCGCAGCTACGATTTTTCTGTGCCGGTTAACGTGATGTTTTGTGGCAGATTTTTTTTTATTTTGATTTGATGTTTTCTTATTGGGTGAAGTTTGTTAATGGGCATTTGTGGAATTTTCGGGAAAGAAAAATGGTAGTAATAATAAAAAGGCTGTCACGAGATCATACTGAAACACGAAATATTCAGTTGGAACGCCAACGCTGAGAGCTCAGAACTGCAAATAGAGAATCAAATCAATGGTGGAATCGGGTTGATGTTTGAAAAGTTTGTTTAGGCTCGGTAAGTTTTTCGATTTCTTCTCAAAACACACAATTATTTGGATCGAAGAAACGGTATTGGCAAAACTTGATAGCACTGTAACTACGAATGTAGTCTGATGCGTTCTGCCAAAACCAGAGCAACATCTACACGGTACACCGAAAAAAGTTGAGAAATTTGTGTACTTGCTCGGCTTAGTTGTAGTACGAGTATTTTTCTTAGAGAATGATCAGTGCAGTGCGCCTGCTTAAAATATTATGGTGTGGTGACAGTGAGGGCTGGGATGTGGGGATACCGTAAGCTACTAAACAATTACATACCGGGATGATACCGCACTTATGGTCACTAATCGCTGCGAGTACCAGTATTTGATTACAGATGTCATGCTATTATGGTTACCGCTCAGTGGACATTGGCTGTGGCATGCCTATGTCTGCGGCTACTGGCGTGTACGTTCTGTTTCGTTAACGTTGGTTCTCGCCAAAAGAGCTTAGTTTCTGGGAAAGGTCACTGAAAGTGGCGATCGATCACTGCGGAGCGGTACCGATTGAGAGTGGATGTAGTCCATCCGATCAGCGCAGTGAACAGGAGTCGCATTGCCAACGTCCATAGCACGAACCTGTAGAGAGCTTGCTGATCAATCACCGTAACGTGTAATTCGCATCCTGTTAATCATCGGAAGTCCTGTTCTCCTGACCTGTTCTTCGTAGCGGCCAAAGACGTCGGTACAATGAAAAATTACATACGAGGGCATTTTATAAACGTCTGCCATTTCAGCAACACTATCATCGTGGGAGGGAATTTCAAGAGAATTTAATTATTGCTCTTGCCCTTGCTCTCCCCTGCTAACTGTTAAAAAAAAGTGTGTATACAAAAAAAGTGTGTAAAAAAGTGAAAAAAAGTGTGTAAAACAAGTAAAGTAAAGTAAGTGTAGAAAAGTGCACCTAACTGAGCAACGATAGACCGGAGCACAGCTCTCAGGGTTGAAAACGAAAGGTAGAACGGTCATCCGTGACTTTTCCACACTACTACCCGTGCTCCTACACCGCTACTAAATCAAAAATTAACAAAAACCGGCAGAACGGCATATTTTTACGTGAATGTTCACATAGTTGTGTCACGAGTACGACTGGTTGAAGTACATTTTGTATGGACAGTTATACTTTGATGTGGTTTGCAACGGAAGGAAGTGGCCAGAAAGTATCAGCCAATTAGTAAAGTGTTAAGTGTACTTTGATCTCTCATAAAACAATCAATAAAATGTTGTCTCATGGTTTGTCTATGAGTGTTTTTAAGTTGAAGGCGTGTTCTGTCATCTTTCATATTTTGGATCAGAAATCGCTTCTGAGTGCTTGAGGGAGAAGAACTCCTTGTGAATGAATTAATGTCATCTTGCATAGCTAGCAGCTCTGGAATATCTGGTCTTGGGAAGTGTTCTCTGGCATATCTTCTTGTCCTAGATGTTGTTGCACTGTTAGTCTGAATGAGTCTGTATAAAGGTCACCGTTAGCAGAACGATTGGGTTAGCGTCGTGCCTGAGTTAGCTGTTTAGTAAAGGTCATTCACTACCATAAACCATCAGTAGCTTTACGCTATCTGACATGGAGGGCATTTGGTGGTGAAAGTCATTCTATGTGTTTTTACGCGCGGTTGTGTGGTTTATCGAGTCGACTAAATGCAATAGTCATTGTTACCTGTCCGATTTCACCTGTGCGATTTTACCTGTGAACCCGGATCGCCTGCCTGTTACCGGTCTACAGTGGGATACCTTTGTGTTTGTTCTTGCGGATTGGATGCAGCTGGATGCCGGCGAGCACGGTGCCAACCGGATGACGCGGGCGAAGTTCGCGGTTGAAGAACCACACGGATGGTGTAAGTGGAAGATCGATAGCCGTGTCTAGTGAAGCATGCTGTTTAATTTTGTTGCGATGAGTCATTTCTCCCTACGTTAAGAAGATCTTTCCGTTTTGCACGATATTGCTTGGCTTGTTGTTATAATGGTTGTTACTACATGAATTTTGATGGAACGCCAGCGTGAATGGTTTAGACTAACTTTTTCCTTGATACCGGTTTACGATTCGATAAGATAGAAGTCAGCGTTAAATGTAATGGGATACAACAGTTAGTGCACTACGTAGGTGATAGTTGTTCTTACGTCCCTTGTGTACAAAGAATCGAAGTTGCTAATCCAGACGGAAGTGTGGGAACGATATACCCATTGAGATAGAAATATGTACAAGGTCAACGAACAGTATCATAATTTTCGTTTAACTACAATAGCTGTGCTAGTCTGTGTAACCCGCCGACATACCACGCGTTTGTCAGCTGTTGTTTATCGGCTTGTACCGTAGATGTGATGGAACTCTTGTGGCCTCGTTGTTGCTTTCGTACCGTTCATGGCCGGTATTTTGTTTGGGCGTGACCGGCAATATCAGTTGCCGGTAACCTGATGTAGTTAGCAGCATGCAAATTCACGTCTCAGCATTGTTGGGCAGCGTTTTGTTTAATGCATCAACTTTATAGTAAACAGTGTCAGTTACCGGCACTTGCTTATGTAAGTGATAACTTTTGTTGAGAAAAAAAAAAGCTGAGTTTCCTGTGTATTTCTGTTCACTGTGTAAGTCTGTACTGCCGTGTTCATCCTGGCTTGTGCACATGTACACGCGCGGCGCAATCTCGTAGCTGTTGTTGGTACATAAATACCGGTACAACGGGTACATACCTTTTGTTGTGTACTCTGTACATGTGATTTATTAACATGCACGGCAATGCCAATATACTCGTACCAGTTGTAATGATAATTTAGTCTGCTTTAAGTAATAATTCTAATGATAATTGTAACTGTTAACCTTGAATTACAATGGCTAATAATAGCAATAAGCTATGCCTGCTACAAGAAGCACCTTACCGTTAACACATGTGAGTGAAAGGGAGCTTGTTGATAAAAGCGAAAAAGCCATAAAAAGTAGAAGTAACAAAGTGAAGCCGATTACCAGTAAAGAGCCGGTTACAGGCGCGAGCAAGGTTACAACCAATGATCTGAATAGTACGGTTACTGGGAATAACAACGAGTTTCTTAATTCTCAGGATAACGATATTTTGCCGGTTACTGCAAACCTAGAGTTGTTTGAGGAGAGAAAATTTGTTGGTGCAGTTGTACAGAACAAAATGGATGCAGCTGCAGTAAACAAATTAGCTGATGCTTTAAATAAATTAAATCCTGCCAAAGTCGACCGGAAGGTTAACCTTGCAGATTTGCCGTCATTTTCTGGGCAAGACTCAGAATCGGCGGCAGATTTTCTGATAAAATTCAAACTTTTTGGTGAATATTTCGAATGGGATAATGAAAAGTTGAAAGAAATGTTTCCGATGCGGTTAAACAAAGACGCTTTAAAATGGTTTATTACGAATAAAACTAAGCTACCAGACTGGGATGAAACTGAGAAAGAGTTTCTTAAAGTGTTTGGCAAAAGTGCGTACGACCTTGATCTGCAATCACTAAGCTTTTCTAATAATCCATTACAAAATCCTCTGGGTTACGTTTTCGAGATTCTCGATTACCTTCGCATAACAAACCCTCTTGCAACAGAGCAGGAAAAAGTACGCGTGATTTTTGAGCACATGCCACCTGAACTGAAAGCAGCAGTTATCGAAGACAGACCAGATACTGTTGATAGGTTTGTTGAGAGGCTTAAAGACATTAAAAGAAAACAACAGTACTTGTCGGTTGTCGGTAAACATGATACATCGATAAAAAAACTAACGTGGCAATAAGTCCGAAATGTAATGAGAAAGTACGGTATACAAAGTAGCGCAGGTGTAAAACTAAAGAATAATAATAATAATTAATGATCGTCGATCAATTTTTTGCGTGTTAGTTCAAAGCCTTTAAAAATAAAAACTATGACAGTAAGGCAACAGGCGGACAGTATGGAGTATATTAGTTATAGCTGTGTGTTGAAAATAAAATTTTTCTTTGAGTGAATAAAGTTGTATTATTCATTTTAGCCATGGACAGTCAGGGCCCTGGTCTGTAAATGGTGCATTTTCAAAAATATACAAACAAAATTGTGTATGATGATGATGTAAGAAATGAGATTTTTGTGAGGAATTTAGAGAGTTGATAGTGTTAAATTATTGATTTATTTTGCCGCCTGTTGTCTATAAATTTTTATCTGTCAGTAATGATTTTGCAGTCTAAACATCAGCTAATTCAGAATGTTGCTACAAATTTTTGAAAAACTGTGGTAAAATACCGTTACTTTCACTGAAACTAAGGTACAAGTAAGTTCCTGTTTAGTTATCCAATCGTTTTTAACTGGCCATGGGGGACGCCCTAATAGTCGGTTACTTTAGTCATAGTTTATTGTATACCTGCTTTCAACAAATTGTATATTGGAAGGCTCCTAAAATTTGCAATTTGCCAAGCAAAGTGGAACAATTACTTGTATTTATTTAATCGGTGATTACTGTCAATAGAACTAGAATTTATTCACCTGAAAACAAATAAAAATGTCAAAATTTGTGATCTGTATAAATCTATGGTTAGCAATTAAATTCACAGACAGCGCAATTGTACGACTAACCTTTTAATGATTTGTGTAACTGACTATAATACAGTGGTCTATTTCTCACTTTTCCAAACACGCGGAACTGTCTGTATGTTCCATGCATCCAAAACTGCGTGTAGGACGCACAAAATAAAAAACAGGCTTGTGCGAATATATTACAGCGGCAGCAGTAAATGCGGTGCAATGCACTCGTATGTTGTCAAATGTCTGCACTGACTCAGACGTTACGCATTGAAGCGTAACGCACTGAACCACCAAGTTGCCGGCATGTGACTAAAGTTCGATTACTCATGTTGCATTAATAAACCTTTCTG